TGCCTTTGATACTGTGAACCATCAGATCCTCCTCTCCACCCTCTCCGAGCTGGGCATCTCCGGCGCGGCTCACTCTTGGATTGCGTCCTACCTGACCGGTCGCTCCTACCAAGTGGCGTGGCGAGAAGCTGTCTCCGCACCACGTGCTCTCACCACTGGTGTCCCCCAGGGCTCAGTTCTAGGCCCTCTCCTATTCTCGCTATACACCAAGTCACTTGGCTCTGTCATATCCTCACATGGCCTCTCCTATCATTGCTACGCTGACGACACACAACTAATCTTCTCCTTTCCCCCTTCTGATAACCAGGTGGCGAATCGCATCTCTGCATGTCTGGCAGACATATCAGTATGGATGACGGATCACCACCTCAAGCTGAACCTCGGCAAGACGGAGCTGCTCTTCCTCCCGGGGAAGGACTGCCCGTTCCATGATCTCGCCATCACGGTTGACAACTCCGTTGTGTCCTCCTCCCAGAGTGCGAAGAGCCTTGGCGTGACCCTGGACAACACCCTGTCGTTCTCCGCTAACATCAAGGCGGTGACCCGATCCTGTAGGTTCATGCTCTACAACATTCGGAGAGTACGACCCTGCCTTACACAGGAAGGGGCACAGGTCCTAATCCAGGCACTTGTCATCTCCCGTCTGGATTACTGCAACTCGCTGTTGGCTGGGCTCCCTGCCTGTGCCATTAAACCCCTACAACTCATCCAGAATGCCGCAGCCCGTCTGGTGTTCAACCTTCCCAAGTTCTCTCACGTCACCCCGCTCCTCCGCACACTCCACTGGCTTCCAGTTGAAGCTCGCATCTGCTACAAGACCATGGTGCTTGCCTACGGAGCTGTGAGGGGAACGGCACCTCCGTACCTTCAGGCTCTGATCAGTCCCTACACCCAAACGAGGGCACTGCGTTCATCCACCTCTGGCCTGCTGGCTCCCCTACCTCTGCGGAAGCATAGTTCCCGCTCAGCCCAGTCAAAACTGTTCGCTGCTCTGGCACCCCAATGGTGGAACAAGCTCCCTCACGACGCCAGGACAGCGGAGTCACTCACCACCTTCCGGAGACATTTGAAACCCCACCTCTTTAAGGAATACCTGGGATAGGATAAAGTAATCCTTCTACCCCCCCCCCCCCCCCCCCCCCCCCCTTTACTCCAACCCACCCCCCCCAAAAATAAAAATAATAATAATAATAATAATAATAATAATATTTAAAAAAAAATGTTTATAAACATTGTAAAGTGGTTATCCACTGGCTATAAGGTGAATGCACCTATTTGTACGTCGCTCTGGATAAGAGCGTCTGCTAAATGACGTAAATGTAAATGTTCCTAACTCAGTTGCCGGAGAGGAAGGAAACCGCTAGTTACTGGTTACTTTTAAACAGTTACAGAGTTTAATGGCTGTGATAGGAGAAAACTGAGGATGGTTCAACAACATTATAGTTACATTATACTAATCTAATTGACAGAGTGTAAAGAAGGACGCCTGTACAGAATACAAATATTCCATAAAGATATACTGCACAGGCAAAACCTGGTTCAGTCTGCTTTCCAACAGACAGAATTATGAATTCACCTTTCAGCAGGACAATAACCTAAAACACAAGGCCAAATCTACACTAGAGTTGCTTACCAAGAAGACAGTGAATGGCCCTGAGCGGCTGAGTTACAGTTTTGACTTAAATCATTCGGAAAGTATTCAGACCCCTCGACTTTTTCCACATTTTGTTACGCTACAGCCTTATTCTAAAATAGATTAAATAAAACATGGTCCTCATCAATCTACACACAATGCCCTGTAATGACAAAGCAAAACCAGTTTTTTTATTTTATTTTGGCACATTTATTTAAAAACAAAACCTGAAATATCTCATTTACATAAGTATTCAGACCCTTTACTCAGTACTTTGTTGAAGCACCTTTGGAAGTGTTTACTGCCTCAAGTCTTTTTGGGTATGATGCTAGTCCGCTCCACCGGGGTCCAGTCCAGCTCCGTTCAGCAGCTCCACTCCGGAGCCAGAGCAGTCCGCTCCACCGGTGCCCAGTCCAGCTCCGGTCAGCGGCTCCAGTCCAGACCCAGACGTCAGCCCCTCTCCAGGTTCGGGGTCTCCCACACCAGGGTCCAGACAGGGCTTGGTACATCGTGGGAGGAAGGAGAGGGGAAGCAGCACACCGAGGTCCAGACCAGACCAGGGGTGCAACGGGGAGGCTGAGAGAATGTGGTCGTCACACCTGGACCCTACCCTGTTATGTCAGGTTTGTGCGGTCGGAGTCCGCACCTTTGGGGGAGGGTACTGTCACGCCCTGACTTATGGGACTCTAGTATGTTGAGTCAGGGTGTGGAATTCTATGTTGTATTTTCTATGTTCTCATTCTAGGTTGTGTATTTCTATGTTGGCCGGGTGTGATTCCCAATCAGAGGCAGATGTCGCTCGTTGTCTCTGATTGGGGATCATACTTAGGCAGCCTGTTTGCTATCATTAGTTGTGGGATCTTGTTCCGTGTAGAGGCTTGTATTGTGTTTAGCCTGAGGACTTCACGTTACGTTGTTTTGTTGTTTTGTTCGTGTGTTTATCGTTATAATAAACATGTATGCATTTCACGCTGCGCCTTGGTCTGACCCGTCCTTCAACGTACGTGACAACAATGGTGGAGGCCACTGTGTTCTTGGTGACCTTCAATGCTGCAGACACTTTTTGGTACCCTTCCCCAGATCTGTGCCTCGACACAATCCTGTCTTGGAGCTCTCCGGACAATTCCTTCCACCTCATGGCTTGGTTTTTGCTCTGACACGCACTGTCAACTGTGGGACCTTATATAGACAGGTGTGTGCCTTTCCAGATCATGTCCAATCCATTGAGTTTACCACAGGTGGACTCCTGTCAAATTGTAGAAATATCTCAAGGATGATCACTGGAAACAGGATGCACCTGAGCTCAATTTCGAGTCTCATAGCAAAGGGTCTGAATACTTACGTAAATAATGTATTTCTATTTTCTATTTTTTATTATTATGGGATATTGTGTGTAGATTGAGGAGGAAGAAAATTAATTGAATCAATTTTAGAATAAGGCTGTAACGTAGCAAAATGTGGAAAAAGTCAAGGGGTCTAAATACTTTCCGAATGCACTGTACCTGAAAATCTATGGCAAGACCTGAAAATGGTTGTCTAACAATGATCAACAACCAATTTGACGGAGCTTGGAAGAATTTTGAAAAGAATAATGGGCAAATGTTGCACATTGCACAGTCTTAGAGACGTATCCAGAAAGACTCACAGCTGTAATCGCTGCCAAAGGGGCTTCTACAAAGTATTGACTCATGGATTTAATCAATTTTGAACTCAGGCTGTAACACAACAAAATGTGGAATAAGTCAAGGGGCATGAATACTTACTGAAGGCACTGTATCTATTTCATTTCATTTTTCACTGTGCTGTTTCACCACTGCTTTTCCTCATTGACACAAACCACCTCTCTCTATCCCTCTCTCCCCTCCTTTTTTACTCCCTCTCTCCACCCTGTCCCTCTCCCTCTCCCCCTCTCTTTCTCAGCTGTCAGCCACAGTTGGAGGTGCTATCTTTCCTCCTGACCTTCTCGTTCTTAATGATGCATGTAAACTGCTCCTGTCCATCGCTGGCTTTATTTATCTGCTAACAAATGATTACCCTTGATGTGTAGAGTCTCGTCGTCGTACAGCCCAGTGTGTGTGTGTGTGTGTGTGTGTGTGTGTGTCCAGATTCCTGTGATAAAGTACCATGCCCCTTCCTTGTTCATCCAGACCTATCTGTCTATCTGCCAGCCTAGGGGAACCTCTATCAGCACCTATCTGGGTGCTACACTCACCACACACAGATTCACATCAAACAAAAAACTGAAATGAAGCAAACAAGGCTCAAATGGTCTGTCTATCATATATTTGGCAAAATATTAGGTTTATTGTAGATCCTAAATAATTTATCACTGCATCTTTCACAAAATACTCAACAAACACACAATAGAAATACTGATGTTACTATGAGTGCATTATATTGGACTTTGTCCACATGGCACTTGTCATATAGTTAGATTTCATTAAGTAAAACCACTGTATAAGGAGGATGAAGGATGAGGCCAATTAAGTCCAATGTAAATGTGTAAGGCTACAGGCCGTTAAGTTTGGACCCACACCCTGGCCTTACAGTTGGCACTGTCCCATATTCATTACTCACAAGCAGAGTGCCAAGCTGCAGATCTAACCTCTTAAAGGCCTGCCAGTAGCTGCCAGTGGCTCGTTAAAACTGGGTGAATGATGAGCTGTTGACTTACCCTTGTTTCCGTGGCCTGCGTTTGTCATCCTGGACAGACCTCTGAATGGGAAAGACACAGGAAGTAGTGTTACATGGAAATAAACTAGGATTCAAATCTGCGAATACGTTTAGCTTTATAGCCTACTTATAAGTCGTCTATCCTTCTATATGGCCTTCAAGACTATGTAAAAACCTATAACTTAAAGCCTACAGTGATTGGTTCTCAAAGTCGAATGTTGGTAGGTGATTAGTCCCGTAATCAATCGATCTGTTGGTTGACTAACAATTAAGATCAGCTAGCTTGAGATCAGCTGAAGCTGAAGGAACGAGGTTGGAAACAAACCTGCAGGGACTCTCCAGCACCTACTTTGCGCCTTTCTAGTGCATACTGAAATGATTAGACAGAAATATTTCAACAATATAACACATGCTGGAGTGCATCAAGGCTTCATAGCACACCCAATACGATTCAAGTTGAATCTATACCAGTTGAGAGACTTTCCTGCCTTCTATCGGAGCACTTGAAGTTGTCATGGACAGACCTTTGCAAAACTACATTAATTAAAAACTTAAATGTTGGAAAACTTCTAACAACTTAACACGGATCGTTACATTCCCTTTGAAATGGCCACATCAATAATGTAGTGCGAATGCCAATATATAAAAATGCAATTACTACAGTGCTGTAAAGGTGACAGAGAATGGCTCACTACTGTATGGATGGAGTCAGACTCACATGGATGAGGTTGTAGTATGTAGAGTCCTCAGGGGTGTTGAGCGTCTTTGGCTGTTGGGTTCTGCGAGGCGTCCGACACACTTTCAGATCGACTGAAACATCACAACAACAAAAAGACCCACATCAGCTATAATGCTTTGATGGTCAAGTAGCTAGAGAAAGTAGACATAGGTGTATTGTTATGCAGGTTTTTCATTTATATCTACAGTATTTATCAAAAGTGTACTCAACAAATCCCTGGTTAATCATTTTTAAAAGAGTGCTATGTAATAAACAGAGACATTTTGGGTGTTTATGTTTTTTTACACAGGAACGGAGTGAAAACTGCTTTTCCATATTATGCTTGAGAAAATGGCTGCCAAAAGACTACCATGAGGAGGCGATTGACCCCCTGAGGGCAGCGAGAGCGCACAATGACTCCCCTGCTGGATAACTCTAATCCACTTCACACTATTCTGCACAACAGGGTTTCTCTAATGTTCAACCACTGCCTTTAAACATAGCTTCGAAGAGGACAATAAGTGCATCGATGATGTCGTCCCCACAGTGACCGTACGTACATACCCCAACCAGAAGCCATGGATTACAGGCAACATCTGCACTGAGCTAAAGGGTAGAGCTGCCGCTTTCAAGGAGCGGGACTCTAACCCGGACGCTTATAAGAAATCCCGCTATGCCCTCAGACGAACCATCAAACAGGCAAAGAGTCAATACAGGACTAAGAATACAGTACTACACCGGCTCTGACGCTCATCGGATGTGGCTGGGCTTGAAAACTATTACAGACTACAAAGGGAAGCACAGCCGCGAACTGCCCAGTGACACAAGCCTACCAGACAAGCTAAACCACTTTTATGCTCGCTTCGAGGCAAGCAACACTGAAGCATGCATGAGAGCACCAGCTGTTTCCGGATGACTATGTGATCACGCTCTCCGTAGCCGATGTGAGTAAGACTTTTAAGCAGGTCAACATTCACAAGGCCGCAGGGCCAAACGGATTACCAGAACGTGTACTCTGAGCATGTGCTGACCAACTGGCAAGTGTCTTCACCGACATTTTCAACATGTCCCTGACTGAGTCTGTAATATTTTTTTATTTTTTATTAATTTTATTTTTTCACCTTTATTTAACCAGGTAAGCCAGTTGAGAACAAGTTCTGGCCAAGATAAAGCAAAGCAGTGCGATAAAAACAACAACCCAGAGTTACATATGGGGTAAAACAAAACATAAAGTCAAAAATACTGTCACGATCGTCTTGAGAAGAAGCGGGCCAAGGCGCAGCGTGATATGCGTACATATTTATTTCAGTGTACACACAACGAACAAAACAACAAACGATACGAAACGTGAAGTCCTACGGTTACACAAACCAAAAGGAACAAGATACTACATTAAACAAATGCCAAACGGCTACCTAAGTATGGCTCCCAATCAGAGACAACGAGCTACAGCCGTCTCTGATTGGGAACCACCCTGGCCAACATAGAAATACCAAACTAGAAGCGACACAACCTAGAACACAAAAACATAGAAACTAACACCCTGGCTCAACATATGAGACTCCCCAGAGCCAGGGCGTGACAGTACCCCCCCCCCAAAGGCGCGGACTCCAACCGCGCCAACCAAACACAACAGGGGAGCGACCGGGTGGGCACTCCGCCTCGGCAGCGGATCCGGTTCCGGGCATGACCCCCACTCCCTCTCTAACCCCCCAAAGCGCCCCTGGTCCGGTCTGGCCCTGCTGGCCGGAGCTGGACTGAATACTGGTGGAGCGGATTGCTCTAGCTCCGGAGTGGAGCAGCTGACCGGTGCCGGACCAGGCACCGGTGGAACAGGCACGGGCTGTGCCGGACAGACGACGCGCACCACTGGCTTGGTGCAGGGATCAGGAACAGGCCGGACCGGGCTGACGACGCGCACCACTGGCTTGGTGCGGGGAGCAGGAACGGGCCGGACCGGGCTGACGACGCGCACCACAGGTTTAGTGCGGGGAGCAGGAACGGGCCGGACCGGGCTGGCGACGCGCACCACTGGCTTGGTGCGGGGAGCAGGAACGGGCCGGACCGGGCTGGCGACGCGCACCACTGGCTTGGTGCGAGGGGCAGGAACAGGCCGAACCGGGCTGGCGACGCGCACCACTGGCTTGGTGCGAGGGGCAGGAACAGGCCGAACCGGGCTGGCGACGCGCACCACTGGTTTGGTGCGAGGGGCAGGAACAGGCCGGACCAGGCTGGCGACGCGCACCACAGCCTTGGTGCGAGGGACAGGAACAGGCCGGACCGGGCTGGCGACGCGCACCACAGGCTCGGTGCGAGAGACAGGAACAGGCCGGACCGTACTGGGGACACACGCCACTGGCCCTACGCGGGGATCATGAACGGGCCGGACCGGACTGGCAACACACCCCAGTACCTCTCGCCGTGCCTCTACATTCTCCTTCCCCCTGGTGTCCAGTAACTCCCGTAACCTGGCGGCCTCCTCTGCCAATCCTCTGAACCACTCTATCCCGTACTCCTGCTGCCCCGTCGTCCACGGCGTGAGCCCCCCCCTAAAAAATGTCTGGGCTTGTCTCTCCCCCGTGGACCAGGCCTCCATGGTTCTCGCCCAACTCTCACTCCACTGCTCCCAATTCCAACCTCTCTCCTCATCACGCTGCTTGACCCAGTCGTGGTGGTATCTTCTGTCAGGAGCTGATGTAGATGTGGTGTAGGAGTCAGGCGCAGGACACAGAGGCTTAGTCCAACAGACTTTACTTGTCATAACGTGACAAAATACAAAATACGGGCCTCGAACAAACAGAGGCGAGTGATTTCGCAAACTGTGCGTAAAAACACCAAAACAAATAAACAGAGCAGAAACTCGCAGCACCTACGGACAATAACACACAACACAAGACTAACCAAACAAGAAACTTATAGGAGACATAATCAACCAAACAGGAAACAGGTGTACACAATCAGACAAAACCAAACAGAAATCGAAAACATCAAACGGTGATAGCTAGTACTCCGGGGACGACGACCGCCGAAGCCTGCCCGAACAAGGAGGAGGAGCAGCCTCGGCCGAAACCGTGACAAATACAACACAAAATATATATACAGTGTGTGCAAATGTAGCAAGTTATGGTGGTAAGGCAATAAGTAGGCTATAGTGCAAAATAATTACAATTAGTATTAACACTGGAATGATAGATGTGCAAGAGATGATGTGCAAATAGAGATACTGGGGTGCAAATGAGCAAAATAAATAAGAATATAGGGATGAGGTAGTTGGGTGGGCTAATTTCAGATGGGCTGTGTACAGGTGCAGTGATCGGTAAGGTGCTCTGACAACTGATGCTTAAAGTTAGTGAGGGAGATAAGAGTCTCCAGCTTCAGAGATTTTTGCAATTTGTTCCAGTCATTGGCAGCAGAGAACTGGAAGGAATGGTGGCCAAAGGAGGTCTTGGCTTTGGGGATGACCAGTGAGATATACCTGCTGGAGCGCATACTACGGGTGGGTGTTGCTATGGTGACCAATGAGCTAAGATAAGGAGGGGATTTGCCTAGCAATGATTTATAGATGGCCTGGAGCCAGTGGGTTTGGCGACGAATGTGTAGTGAGGACCAGCCAACAAGAGCGTATAGGTCACAGTGGTGGGTAGTATATGGGGCTTTGGAGACAAAACGGATGGCACTGTGATAGACTACATCCAATTTACTGAGTAGAGTGTTGGAGGCTATTTTGTAAATGACATCGCCGAAGTCAAGGATCGGTAGGATAGTCAGTTTTACGAGGGCATGTTTGGCAGCATGAGTGAAGGAGGCTTTGTTGCGAAATAGGAAACCGATTCTAGATTTAACTTTGGATTGGAGATTCTTAATGTGAGTCTGGAAGGAGAGTTTACAGTCTAACCAGACACATAGGTATTTGTAGTTGTCCACATACTCTAGGTCAGACACGTCGAGAGTAGTGATTCTAGTCGGGTGGGCGGGTGCCAGCAGCAATCGATTGAAGAGCATACCAACATGTTTCAAGCAGACCACCATAGTCCCCGTGCCCAAGGACACTAAGATAACCTGCCTAAATGACTACCGACCCGTAGCACAGACATCTGTAGCCATGAAGGGCTTTGAAAGGCTGGTCATGGCTCACATCAACACCATTATCCCAGAAACCCTAGACCCACTCCAATTTGCATACCGCTCCAACAGATCCACAGATGATGCAATCTCTATTGCACTCCACACTGCCCTTTCCCACCTGGACAAGAGGAACACCTACGTGAGAATGTTATTCATTGACTACAGCTCAGCATTCAACACATACATTTTAGTCATTTAGCAGACGCTCTTATCCAGAGCAACTTACAGTTAGTGAATGCATATGTAAAAAAAATTCATACTGGCCCCCCGTGGGAAACGAACCCACATCCCTGCCGGCCAAACCCTCCCCTACCTTGGACGACGCTGGACCAATTGTGCGCCGCCCATGGGTCTCCCGGTTGCGGCCGGCTGCGACAGAGCCTGGACTCGAACCAGGATCTCTAGTGGCACAGCTAGCACTGCGATGCAGTGCCTTAGACCACTGCGCCACTCGGGAGTCACTGTGCCCTCAAATACCATAGTGCCCTCAAAGCTCATCACTAAGCTAAGGATCCTGGGACTAAACGCCTCCCTCTGCAACTGGATCCTGGACTTCCTGACGGGCTGCCCCCAGGTGGTAAGGGTAGGTAACAACACATCTGCCATGCTGATCCTCAACACGGGGGCCCCTCAGGGGTGCGTGCTCAGTCCCCTCCTGTACTCCCTGTTCACCCATGACTGCATGGCCAGGCACGACTCCAACACCATTAAGTTTGCCGACGACACAACAGTGGTAGGCCTGATCACCGACAACGATGAGACAGCCTATAGGGAGGAGGTCAGAGACCTGGCCGTGTGGTGCCAGGATAACAACCTCTCCCTCAACGTGACCAAGACAAAGGAGATGATTGTGGACTACAGGGAAAAAAAGAGGACTGAGCACACCCCCATTCTCATTGACGGGGCTGTAGTGGAACAGGTTGAGAGCTTCAAGTTCCTTGGTGTCCACATCACCAACAAACTATCATGGTCCAAACACAACAAGACAGTCGTGAAGAGGGCACGACAAAGCATATTCCCCCTCAGGAGACTGAAAAGATTTGGTATGGGTCCTCAGATCCTCAAAAAGTTATACAGCTGCACCATCGAGAGCATCCTGACTGGTTGCATCACTGCCTGGTATGACAACTGCTCGGCCTCCGACCGCAAGGCACTACAGAGGGTAGTGCGTACGGCCCAGTACATCACTGGGGCCAAGCTTCCTGCCATCCAGGACCTCTATACCAGGCGGTGTCAGAGGAAGGCCCACAAAATTGTCAAAGACTCCAGCCACCCTAGTCATAGACTGTTCTCTCTGCTACCGCACGGCAAGCGGTACCGGAGCGCCAAGTCTAGGTCCAAAAGGCTTCTCAACAGCTTCTACCCCCAAGCCATAAGACTCCTGAACAGCTAATCATGGCTACCCTGACTATTTGCACTGCCCCCCCACCCCCACCCCATCTTTTTACGCTGCTGCTACTCTGTTAATTATTTATGCATAGTCACTTTAACTCTACCCACATGTACATATTACCTCAACTACCTCAACTAGCCGGTGCCCCTGCACATTGACTCTGCACCGGTACCCCCCTGTATATAGCCTCCCTACTGTTCTTTTATTTTACTTCTGCTCTTTTTTTCTCAACACTTTTTTTGTTGTTGTTGTTTTTTTTACTTTTTATTAAGAAATAAATGCATTGTTGGTTATGGGCTGTAAGTAAGCATTTCACGGTAATGTCTACACCTGTTGTATTCGGCGCATGTGGCAAATACAATTTTATTTTATTTTATTTTATTTTACAAACGTTGCTACAATTGTAACAATACCAGAAGAGAATATTACCTGGAAATAATGTTGAAATGGAAGGGCATTTTAAAAATGGTGGATTCAGGTGATTCTATTCTACCAAAGACTTAAAGAGTTTGTAACTTTTACTGTTGAAAATCGTTATCCTAAGTATAAATACAATAAAGTACACACATTAAAGGGTAAAAAATACATTCTGAGCAAAATGGACCACCTATTGAGATGGATCTTTTGTTAAGTAAATCAGGTGATAAATGAGCTGAAAAGGAGACTGGAGTAGGACTTTACGTTTTAAGAATTTTAGGCATTTTACAAGCTTAAATGTCCCCAAAAATCTTAAGCCTACATTATGCAGTTAAGCTAACCTCATGGGCTTTGGTTGCTATGTAGCCTACTGTCTTATAACTTGAGGATGATATTTGGCCTACAGAGCTGTATGGAAACTTGCCTTAGGCTGTTATATTTGACCCTGTTTTTCTAATGACTTACTGGAGAGGCTGTATGACTGGGCGTATGATTACTGGAGAGGCTATCGGGTGTGAACAGGCCATCAGGCTGACCCCCTGACCCTTTAGAATTTTCCTACAGAGATCGATCAGATATTCCTATCCCTGCCAGATAGTGTTCCATCACAGGAGGATGGTGGCACCTTCATTGGGGAGCACGGGCTCATGGTAATGGCTGTAGTGGAATAAGTGCAATGGTATCAATTACATCAAACACATGGTTTCCAGGTGCCATTCCATGTGCTCCGTTACAGAGATTATTATGAGCTGTGCTCCCCTCAGCAGCCTCCACTGTGTCCCATATTATGGTGACCTATAGCTCTCAGTAATGTATTGAATGTAATATGTGTATGTGTGCATATGGATACAGTATGTAAGGTAAAGGCTGTATTTCATGCATGGTTTGTCATAGTTTTTCATATTATTGAACCTGTCTATTTAAAGGTCGTCAGTGATTCTGTATTGCTCAAAGGAGAAAAGCTCATTTGAAATCCCCATATTAATGGTTGTTGTAATTGCCACAGCAGTGCCTTATGAAACGTGATTAGCATTTAATGACCTTTTCCATGAAGTGAAATATGATTGGCATTCTAAGAAATGTCCCCAAATGTCTTTCTGCATATAAAAAATTAGGATTTTAATTGAAATGTAGCGAGGTATGAGGACAGCTTATTATTGGACCAAATCAATGAAGACATTTTGGAGGAGAAAATGTCTCTGGAAATAACACTGGAAATTAATTATGCTCCTCAGGCAATGTGTTGCTCTTAAGAACACCTTGTAAAGGGCACCTACCAGGCATCCCAAGTCTTTGAGATTGCAGTTTGGATTTTGTTGTTGTGGTGAGTTGTTATTGTACTAATATAGTGTATATCTCACATTCAGAAAATGCATATTTGATACACGGTTACCAATTGTGTTCTAGGCTTGCCTCTCTCACAATCCAATATGAGAAAGTCATGACACTAACCAATAAAAACAAATCATGGGTGACACAATAATGATATTTCTTCCGGACACCTGGTAAACTTATGATGATAATAACATTTCAGCTGCCAGATGGATTTGACACACCAAGCACTGAGATGCTGAACTTTCACTCTGCCAGCTCCCTTGCTCATGATTTCAAAGCAATTACACATATCACCGGTGGGAATCAAATACATTTTTTGATGACGCATCGTGTCGAGAACCGCTTTCCGGTTTTGGCACTTGACATCCCCAGGTTTTTCAGATACAATCGAGCCTGAATGAGAGAGAAAATAGAACTTTGTCTGCTGATTAAATTATCAGCTACTGCGAAGCGGAGACATAACAAAAGATGTGCCTTCTTTTTCACCATCTTGTTTCGCTCCTGAGGCAGGGATGACTGAGGATAGGCTGAAAATAGCTCATGAAATAGGTGAATGAGATCACAAAAAGGAGAAATTACACAAGACATTAAAAGAACACCATAATGTCTGTGTACTGTACATATTGAGAAAGCTGCTTCGGAAAATTCAAATACTTGAAAGGTGTTTGAGAACACATACCACATATTGTGTAGTCTATAGGGCCAAACTGACACTCAAAGAAACACTAAAGCCTTAAGTTAATTGAAGATGGGTGGCATGTGCCTGGTCATAAGGTCTCTTTACAACCCAAGAAGGAGTTGGTTATGGAGGTAAAGACTATTTGCAGGTGCACTCAGTCTTATTTATAATAATTATAAATAATAATAGGTCATTTAGCAGACGCTCTTATCCAGAGCGACTTACAGGAGCAATTAGGGTTAAGTGCCTTGCTCAAGGGCACATGGACAGATTTTTCACCTAGTTGGCTCGGGGATTAGAACCAGCGACCTTTCGATTACTGGCACAACGCTCTTAACCACTAAGCTACCTGCCGCCCCTATTATTTCAATGAGTGTCAGTGAACTCTATTCAGCTCTCTGTCTGTGAGGGATAGTCTTGGAGCTGTTTGACCAAGTAGACGAGCCAGGAGCCCACTGGAAAGATGGATAGACCAGAAAAGAAGGATTCGATTGCTTCTTCAGAATGGTCATTATACTCAATACTGCCTGAGTGACTCGGGATCACACATAGTACTTCCAGTTGGTTTTTGTATAAAACCAGTCTACAGTATTTTTATTGACTTCTTTTCAAATGTATTTAATTTCATCCATGTCTGTACTCAACGGTACATTTGTCGTTTCTTTGCTATGTGCAATGTCTTGTGGTTTTCACACAAGTCAGACACTTACCTGATTGCTGATGGTTGACAGCAAAGCCATTGACTGCCTGCCCTTTGACAAACATGCTGTTATTGGCTGGGTTTATCTGGTGGGCCAGGATGATCTCGTTCAGCTTCTGCTGGAGGCTCATGTAGTTCTGGGAAGACTTAGTGACCTGTTGTATAGACAATGGACAAATGATACATATAATCAAATAGTTGGGGGTTCAGAACCCCAAGAAAAGCCGTTGGCAGACACATCAAGTGGGTTAGTACTAGATTACCTCTTTAGAAAAGACCTCCAGTTCCTCCGTATCTCTCTGGGCTGTGGCCTTGGTGGCCTTCAGGTTCTTCCTGTCCTTGTAGCCCCTGAACTGGCTCTGGATCTTCACCGCTGCCTGCTCCTCGTCATACCTATCCCCTCCCTGAGACTCTGTCTCCTCTATGCGAACCAGCTCTACATCGGTGAGGTCCACAACCCTGTCCTCAACATTCAACCCTTCCTCCTGTTCCTCAACCATGGGTTCCTCCTTGCTCCTTTTGACCCGTTCTCTCTCCTCCTTGAATTTCTTTCTATCCCGGTGTCCTCTGAAATTGCTCTGCAGAACGGTGGCAGCTTTTTCCTCGTCTGGCTCGGTCTGGCTTGCGGTGGACGGCTCTGGTTGGGGTTCTAGCGTTGGCTCCTGTGTCTGGACAAGTTCTCGTTTGGGTTGTTCTTTGGCCTCTTTCGTCTTCTTTTTCTTGGGGATTTTTCCTTCCTCCTGCAGGCGTTTGCGCTCCTTGTGGCCACGGAAGTTACTTTGGATGACCGTAGCTGCCTTGGCCTCATCTACTTCTTCCTTCTCCTCCACACCTGCAGACACGGCCACTTCCTCTGGAACCTTTGACCTTCCTTCTGGTTTTGACATACCTTCTACCTTTGTGGTCTCGTCTTCAGTTGGGCTCATCACTCTCTGTTTCCTTGCTGGGATCTTGCCTTCTTCAACCAGCCTCTTCCTCTCTTTGTGGCCCCTGAAGTTGCTCTGGAGAACTGTAGCTGCCTTAGCTTCCTGTTCTGGGTTAACCTCCTCCCCTTCTGCGGGCTCTGTATTCTGTTGCTCGTCAACTTCTGTGTCTTCCTCGTCCACCAGCTCTTCACCCACTTCCGTTAGCTCATCGTCGTCGTCCTCTTCCGCCTTGGCCGTGTCTTCATCCTCTTCCTCCTCCTCCGCTACTTCGGTCAACCCTTCCTCCTTTTCTTCTTCCACTGCAACCTCTTTCATGTCCTCCTGCTCCTCCTCTTCGTCCTCCTCCATAATAGCAGGCTCCACCTCTACAGGCGAGGGTGACCTTAATCTCAACTCGTCTCCAGACAGTGTCTTGTGGCGCTCCCTGAGTTTCTTTCTCTCCTTGTAGCCTCTGTAGTTACTCTGAAGGACCACAGCGGATTTGGCCATCTCTTCCTCCTCCAGTTTGGCAGCTTCGATCCTCTCTTTCTCTATCCTGTCTTTTTCAATGGCCTCCCTAAAGAGAATACAGTTGATTTTGCTCTGAACAGAATCAAACTCAGTGTAAAATGTTTATGATCTGGAACAACTATGGGGGTATACTCTATATATATGTTTATATGAAGAGTAGCTCCTGCCATGTCAGCAGCTAATGTGGATCCTAATAAATAGTAAAATACTAATTATAAACTGGGTGGTTCGAGCCCTGAATGTTTATTGGCTGAAAGCAGTGGTATATCAGAACGTATACCACAAGTATGACAAAACATGTATTTTTACTGCTCTAATTACGTTGGTAACCAGTTTATAATAGCAATAAGTCACCTCGGGGGTTTGTGGTATATGGCCAATATACCATGGCTAAGGGCTGTGTCCAGGCACTCCACGTTGCGTCGTACATAAGAACAGCCCTTATTGCTTAAATATACAATTTCTACTCAATAAAACATTAACTTCATAATGTTTAAAAAGTTCTAGATCTACTTTCCTACATTTTACTATGACTATATTTTTTGTGCAGATCCATCTATGGTTGTCCTTACCTTTTCTTTTTGAAACTCTTCCTCTCCCTGTGTCCTCTATAATGTGCCTGAATCTTAGCTGCAGCTTTATTTTTTTCTTCCATCAACTCCTTGTACTTCTTCTTGGCGAGGTAACCTCGGCAAACTGCAGAAGAGGATGGTACAAGTTCAAACTACACTAAACGTACTATGTATCCTCTGAACATGAACAAACCGATCTTAGAAAACAATGATGAAGTGGCATAATGGTCTCCTCACCAGCCTGTAACTGGATGATGAAGGTCTCAAACTTGGCTTTGCTTAATTTATCATCAGCACATCTCCTCCGTACTTGATGTCCTCTGTACGCTGGTGGACGATATATTAGAGACAAATCATTAACATACAGATATCAACTATTGTTTATGATAATAAAGAACTTAAAGTTTTTGCACACGTTTAAAAGGAACCGGGACAGTTTTGGTTCCACTATGGTGGTAAGGTCAAAGTGACCATGTACTGACCTGATTGTATGGCCACAGCGCTCTGTGCTCTCTTCTCCAGTATTTTGCGGTAGTGTTTGGCCCCCAGCCAGCCCCGGACGTAGGCCTGGACCAGAACGATGCGGTCTGTGGTCTGCCTCACCATCAGGTTTAGGGTCTCCACATGGTAGTACTTCAGAAACACCTGAGAGACACCACATGGAAACACAATCAAAGGATGTAGACTCAGTCATACTCTCCATGAGATTTGTCTAGTCATTTACATTTTACTCCAAAATACTCCATGAATGTGACCTTACTTTAGTTTTGCCCAGGACCCAATTTTCCAGTTTGGCTTTTTCCAATATAGCTGCACAAGTCTCTGGGCTTGCATCCGGCTCCTTGTGCGCACGGAAAGCCAGTATGTAGTACCTGCAACAACCAATACTAGACTTACCAAACCATTTCGGCACACTATTAGCCTAAAAACCTCAAAAGGAGTTTTCCATTCTTCTTGTCATTCATAAGCAATAAGTGGGAGCCTATGGAGTCTTTTCTATGATTAGGATCACCAACCTCTTGACGAAGTTGGTGTAGAGGATGCGGTGAGAGTAGCCCTGTCGGCGGATCTTAGCTGTCTCCAGGACGCCAGTGTAGCGCAGCTGCACCAGCACCTTCTCCCTGTCAAACTTACTGGCCTGCCGGTCATTGTTGGGCTTGATGCAACGCACAAAGTGGGGCTGTCCCGCTACCATCTTGGACAGCAGGTCCATTAGGGAATACTGGTGAATGAAGAGGCAGGAAGTGAGTAGTTTACCTTAAGCATCCACTTAAAACTAGTGTCCAGGTAAAGACCTGAATAAGACCAAAATGCCTATTCTTGAATTCCTGTATGAGAAGACATATTTAGTTGCTTTCTTTTCATTAGTTGCTTTCTTTTCTTATGTAAACCAGTATATATTCTGATTGTCCAGGGGTACTGGTACAACTCCAAGGAGATAAATACAGTTGAAGTCGGAAGTTTACATAAACTTAGAACCCTCCACAAATTTCTTGTTAACCAACTATAGTTTTGGCAAGTCATTTTTCCAACAATTGTTTACAGACAGATTATTTCACTTATAATTCACTGTATCACAATTCCAGTGTGTCAGAAGTTTACATACACTAAGTTGACTTTGCCTTTAAACAGCTTGGAAAATTCCACAAAATTATTTCATGGCTTTAGAAGCTTCTGATAGGCTAATTGACATCATTTGAGTCAATTGGAGGTGAACATGTGGATGTATTTCAAGGCCTACCTTCAAACTCAGTGCCTCTTTGCTTGACAACATTGGAAAATCAAAATAAATCAGCCAAGACCTCAGAATTTTTTTTGTAGACCTCCACAAGTCTGGTTCATCCTTGGGAGCAATTTTTCCAAAGTGCAAATCAATCCCAGAACAACAGCAAAGGACCTTGTGAAGATGCTGGAGGAAATGGGTACAAAAGTATCTATATCCACAGTAAAACGAGTCCTATATCAACATAACCGGAAAGGCCGCTCAGCAAGGAAGAAGCCACTGCTCCAAAACCGCCATAAAAAAGACAGATTACGGTTTGCAACTGCACATGGGGACAAAGATCGTACTTTTTGGAGAAATGTCCTCTGGTCTGATGAAACAAAAATAGAACTGTTTGGCCATAATGACCATCGTTATGTTTGGAGGAAAAAGGGGGTTGCTTGCAAGCCGAAGAACACCATCCCAACCGTGAAGCACGGGGTGGCAGCATCATGCTGTGGGGGTGCTTTGCTGCAGGAGGGACTGGTGCACTTCACAAAATAGATGGCATCGTGAGGAAGGAAAATTATGTGGATATATTGTAGCAACATCTCAAGACATCAGTCAGGAAGTTAAAGCTTGGTCGCAAATGGGTCTTCCAAATGGACAATGACCCCAAGCATACTTCCAATGTTGTGGCAAAATTGCTTAAGGACAACAAAGTCAAGGTATTGGAGTGGCCATCACAAAGCCCTGACCTCAATCCTATAGAACATTTGTGGGCAGAACTGAAAAAGCGTGTGCGAGCAAGGAGGCCTGCAAACCTGACTCAGTTACACCATCTCTGTCAGGAGGAATGGGCCAAAATTCACCCTACTTATTGTGGGAAGCTTGTAGAAGGCTACCCGAAACGTTTGACCCAAGTTAAACAATTTAAAGGCAATGCTACCAAATACTAATTGAGTGTATGTCAACTTCTGACCCACTGGGAATGTGATGAAAGAAATAAAAGCTGAAAGAAATAATTCTCTCTACTATTATTCTGACATTTCACATTCTTAAAATAAAGTGGTGATCCTAACTGACCTAAAACAGGGAATTTTTACTAGGACTAAATGTCAGGAATTGTGAAAAACTGAGTTTAAATGTATTTGGCTAAGGTGTATGTAAACTTCCGACTTCAACTGTAGGTACACATTACATGTCACAGTATGCAAATGTGCTGTACTACAAGTCAGTTTATCAACAGAGCTGTACTACCAGTCAGAGCTATACTACCAGGGTTGGGGGATAATCTATCCACTCAGTAATGTAGGAAGTGATAAAGTGAGACTTTCTTACTCTGAAGTAGGAGGCTACTGTCTGTGTTCTCATGTTGGTGGACTCTCTAGGATGATGGGTGGTCTCTCCAGTTACAGTATCACCCTGGACACACAAAACAGTGAGTTTATCAAGATTATTCACCACAGGTTCATGGTAGGTGTATTTGTTGAGTTATATCAATTAATATTGGAAAACATAGTATTATATGTATTATACAGTGCCTTCGGGAAGTTTTCAGACCCCTTGACTTTTTCCACATTTAATTAAGTTACAGCCTTATTCTAAAATTGATAAAATAAAAAATTTCCTCAGCAATCTACACACAATACCCCATAATGACATAGCGAAAACAGGTTTTTAGAAATTATAGCAAATGTATAAAAAAAATTAAACAGAAATACCTTATTTACATAAGTATTCAGACACTTTGCTATGAGACTCGATATTGAGCTGTCTATGTAAGGTCCAACAGTTGACAGTGTATGTCAGAACAAAAACCAAGCCATGAGGTCGAAGGAATTGTTTGTAGAGCTCCGAGACAGGATTGTGTCGAGACACAGATCTGGGGAAGGGTACCAAAACATTTCTGCAGCATTGAAGGTCCCCAAGAACACAGTGGCCTCCATCATTCTTAAATGGAAGAAGTTTGGAACCACCAAGACTCTTCCTAGAGCTGGCTGCACGGCCAAACTGAGCAATCGGGGGAGATGGGTCTTGGTCAGGGAGATGACCAAGAACCCGATGGTCACTCTGACAGAGCTACAGAGTTCCTCTGTGGAGATGGGAGAACCTTCCAGAAGGACAACCATTTCTGCAGCACTCCACCAATCAGGCCTTTATGGTAGAGTGGCCAGACAGAAGCCACTCCTCAGTAAAAGATACATGACAGCTCGCTTGGAGTTTGCCAAAAGGCACCTAAAGGGCTCTCAGACCATGAGAAACAAGATTCTCTGGTGTGATGAAACCAAGACTGAACTCTTTGGCCTGAATGCCAAGTGTCATGTCTGGAGGAAATCTGGCACCATCCCTACGGTGAAGCATGGTGGTGGCAGCATCATGCAGTGGGGAGGTTTTTCAGTGGCAGGGACTGGGACAGGATCGAGGCAAAGATGAACCGAACTAAGTACAGAGAGCTCCTTGATGAAAACCTGCTCCAGAGCACTCAGCATCTCAGACTGGGGCGAAGGTACACTTTCCAACAGGACAATGACCCTAAGCACACAGCCAAGACAATGCAGGAGTGGCTTCGGGAAAAGTCTCTGAATGTCCTTGAGTGGCCTAGCCTGAGCCCGGACTTGAACTCGATCGAACATCTCTGAAGAAACCTGAAAATAGCTGTGCAGCAACGCTCCCCATCCAACCTGACAGAGCTTGAGAGGATCTGCAGAGAAGAATGGGAGAAACTCCCCAAATACAGGTGTGCCAAGCTTGTAGTGTCATACCCAAGAAGACTCAAGGCTGTAATCGCTGCCAAAGTTGCTTCAACAAAGTACTGAGTAAAGGGTCTGATACTTATGTAAATGTAATATTTCCATTTTAAAAAATTATAATCTAAAAAACAGTTTTTGCTTTGTCATTATGGGGTATTGTGTGTAGATGAATAAAGAAAAAAAATACAATTTCATCAATTTTAGAATAAGGCTGTAACCTAACAAAATGTGGAAAAAGTCAAGGGGTCTGAATACTTTCCGAAGGCACTGTAAAATACTATAGGCCAGTTTTCCGGACACAGATTAAGCTCAGTCTTGGATTTAAAAGCCATGTCATTGGAGATTCTCCACTGAGAATGATTTTAAAACCAAGGCTTAATCTCAGTCCGTGAAACTGGCCCTAAAAGATGTTGTAGAATATTATTTTTTATTTTTTATTGACTGAACGGTACGAGTATAAGATCATTATGGATTGGAAGTTATTCATCAATGTGTAATTAATATGAAAAGCAATGATGGGTTAGATGAGGGCTCTGAACCCCAAAATAGGCAGGTTTATACTGTCCTGTAAATAACAGCCTGAATTGGATATTAACATTCAGAAGCCTTATCTGTGTATCATATTTTCTCATGAAATGTTTCTCATTTTTGTTGTTGTGTGAAAAGCACAAAATTTTGAAAATCACCAATCACCGTTTGAATATGTACTGTGTGATCGAGAGGCAAGAAAGGCGTGTGTTTTTTTTCTGGGGTGAGCGTTAATTTCCGAGAAGAAGGCTGCAAGAGATGCATAAAGAGGAAGCGTAAACAAACACGAGCCAAGTTAGGAATCAAGTCTGCATAATGACAACTTGTTTTAAATGTTTAATGCTGAGTATTGACTTCAGAGGTACCAAATTAGACGTTTGTGACAAAGGACAGTGACCACTTGATCATAAGGGGATGTATGTGTTAAGTCAGTTTGTTTCAAATTTCATTGCGAGTTATGGCAAGCATTATGAAGATTTTACCACAGAGAAACCAGCTATTTTCCTGCTTATGATCATTGGTGAAACTGCCATTTAAAAAAAATTATGACACTTGAAAATCAGTGGGACTTTTCTCATTCCATACAATGCCTTCTGAGAATCTCAGACAATGTTCTCATTTGCAGAGTAATAAGGAGAGTGCAGATACAAAATGCAAATATATGCTTATCTGGGACACAGCCAAATATGAACCTTGAAACATTGCACATGCAAGAAAAAAATTGCAGCAAGGTTGAGTCACATTGCTCACTACAAAGCAACAGCACTGACAAAACATACCTTTACACCATGAGCCTAAAACATTGCTAAAATGACACTCACTCTCATGACTAGCGGAGGAGTCTTTGATGTGCTTTCTTGTGCTTTCTTAGGCAGAAATGTAAAATATGCAGATGAATGGAAATACATTCATGTACTCATCAAAGACAGTTAATTGCCAGGTTTAGCCTCTGCCAATGGCCCTCAGGTATACAAATTGGTTTGACAAAGTGGGAATTGTGACCTTCCCCTAACTATCAGATTAGTGTGGTGTGCTAGAAAGTAAAGGGTTGTGCCCTTTTTGTGGGTAAGATAAGTTCTAGGGGTAACTTTAGGTTGTCATGCAGAAATACAACAAACAACTTTAAGTTGATCATGTTATGACTTCAACCTCTTACGAGTGCGTGAAGGGCACTTCCTCAAAACTAGTCAATATCATGAGGCATGGTGTCATAAACAGAAATAACCCCATTAAACCTAGGTAAATGAGAAAATATAAAAATTACCAGTAGTATGCACATGAAAGCCTCTCCTTTAACATCTAATCAGACAATCAATTCACTCTGAGGTTCTAATGAAAATCGAAAAGACTGCTTTTGCACCCACACTCATAGATTCTCACTCTCATCTATTGAAAGGGAAATACGAAAGGATGGGAATTGGACGAGCCATGAACAAAAACAAATGTAAAACGACTAGTCTTATTATTTCCTAGGGGTGGGTAGATGGTTTGCCATACAACATAGATACAACATAGACAGAGAGATTGCCATTACCTCACCAAGTGACATGCTAGAACTGAATAACTTAAGCACTCCCATCTTTACGAGGAAAACGCAGAGAGAGAGACAGGGGAGACAGAGAGAGAGAGAGAGAGAGAGAGAGAGAGAGAGAGAAAGTCAGAGAGGACACAAAAGGTTAGTTTGTCTGAAAGAGAAAGTGAGACTGAAAAATGTTTTGACATGGAATTACAAGTAGGACAGTTAACGTTACTGGATTGGAAAAGGGAAGCAAGAAAGTAAATGCGACAGAACTATAAACTTTGTTTGAGGGTGTATAAAGGAAAATAAGTTAGAAAATCTTATACCCGTACCTTGGCAAAGTTCATGGTGCGTTGAGGGTGTGCTGGGGTGCGAGGCATGCTCATGAGTGTGTTCATCCCTTTACCCTTAGTGTGGGCCAAGTTGCCTAGAGGATAGAGAGATAGAGGGAGAGAAGTTTATAACAAAAGGACAAGCTACACCACAGTTTCAAAGAGGAAAGAGTTAGTGAGATAGCTGGCAATCAGCGCCTTCATGGAAAAACAAAATGGCAGTAGTTAGACATGCAAGTGCACATTTATATTTAATATAACCAAATCAAGTTGTACTAAAATGGAAGAAGGTGGAGGGAATATGTGGGAGAAAAAACTAAACAAGCTTGACCCCATAGAGCAAGTTACTCTAAAGAGGGAAAATACTAAGTTAGCAAGAGAAGGCAATCTGAAAATCAACATTAGTGATGCAACATCTGCCGTGCAAATTCATCAACAAACATATCCAGAATTTCCATGTCACTTGATAATGTCAAGTGTATAGCTACAGGCCGATGCTATTTCAATAGCACACAGCTATAGAGAAGTGGACTCGCTCTTTGTAGCATGCTAGCATGTCATCGTGTTAGCTTTCATGAGGTCAGTGGGAATGACAGTACAAAGGGGGAGGAGAGGTTGCCGTAGCTCAATAAAATATATTAAAGAGTGATTATGGGATTGCTGATTGGATTTGGGCTCAGAAGGGCCGCGTCCTCTGCCTATGAAGGGTACTCACGCTGCAAGGACCAGCTTTTCACAACAAAAGCCCGGCCTCCAATAACAATAGGCCGCACTGTAAAAAGTGACATGGACCGGTTTTCTTTGGTTCTTTGGCATTTAGCATTTCGATTTCGACAAATAAACACATTTGTTTACAGCGGCATTAATTTATGATAAATATTGAGGTTGTTACGATATGATATTTGAATAATCACCACAAGGCAAGTCTAGAGTTAAGTCGCTCTGGATAAGAGCGTCTGCTAAATGATGAAAATGTAAATGTAAATGTAGAGAGTCAGATGGGAAAAAAAATAAATGCCTTGCTTGACAAGAAAACTGTACATTTGAGAGACTACCTCAATTATGACATACAAAGTGAAAACATAGGTTAGTTGATTGTGCTAAGAGACAGTGTTGTTATTAGGCCATGTGTGTTTACCTGTTTTGGTGAGAGGGTGGGTGACCAGTTTGCGAATCAGCTGATTTTCTGACGACCTCAGCAGAAGAACAATATCTGCCGGCAGTGTATCTCTGTTCTTAGAGAGGAAGCCTGCAGCATTGTAGATCACCTAAACATGATCAACAGAGGGGGTAAGAAGACCTGTATGCACAAACATGGTTTTACAGCAAACTCAGCTTATTACACCTGCTACTGTTATTCACATTTAGGGTTGGGGTGCCCATTTCCTGTCTTTTTAAATTATTATCGCCAAATGCTAAATATTTGACCTAAAACATGTATTTGATGTATTAGACAGGAGGCCTTATAACCTTCCCAGCATAGTGATGAATTCCAAAGCCAAGGTCCACCCTCTTCGGTCTCCAAAAGTTTTTGGATTTCAGGTTGTCTTCAAACTTTTCTACAATGGACAAAGTTCACACAGGTTAATTTACTAGCAGTCCAAGCTGGCTTGCTAAGCATGTAAACATAATTGAATGACAGAATAAGCAAAAATGCATCCACATAACATACTTGCAAGGTTGCTAATTATTTAAATAGCAATGTTTAAACTACCTTTAGGTCCTCTTAAATTAACCTTTTGAATTATTCATGACTTGAGTGGATGAGTGGCTTAGCTAATTGGATAAAACTGGTGTGCACTTCGTAATAATAATAATAATAATTTATTGGACTTATATAGCGCTTTTCTAGACACCCAAAGCGCTTTACGTAGTAATGGAGGGAGCTCACCTCATCCACCACCAATGTGTAGCAGTGACTTGGGTAATGCACGACAACCAATTTCTGCCAGAACACCTATTGGATGGCCATGATGGAAATAGGGCCAAGTTGGGCATTTAACCAGGACACCAATCACTGCCCTGAGGCATTGGGATTAGATCTTAGTAGCTACACAAAGACTGAGTGAGGACTGTGTGGGGACTTGCCTACGAGGGTCTGGTCGGTGGCTTGGGGAAAGCGGCTCTCCTCGTCCAGCAGTGACAGCATACCCATGGGCTTCTGCAGGAACAGGTCCAGGAGAGGACGGTTGTCCTCATACTCAATCACCCTGGCGTCCACATCCTCATTCAGGTACTCATCCTATAGGAGATGGTAAGGGACAGAAAGGTTTAAATTGGAACGGTGAAGCTGGTTTTGAATTAAACCATAACCATATCTGACAGATAACATCACCCTGGGTAGGTTTAGTTTAGTTCTTCATGTTTGGCTCACCTGATAAAGTCTAGGCCCAACTATGAGTCAGCAACATCACAGAACATACAGTATATGTCTCTCTAGAGGTGAAGCACAAAATGAAAATACAATGTCAAAGCTTTTAGGTAGAGCTGGGACGACAAACCGAAAATTAGCGACACTGACCATACCGATCACTTATCGCAGGTATTTTGCTGATATCGTTCATTATGATAAGTAGCCTATACTAGAGAAATGTGAAGCTTAAATGAAATAAGTTTGCTAATATGGGGGATTGTTAATGGGACAATTGATGGCTACAACCATCAAACTACTAGTAGTAGTTTAAAGGATAATAAAAAATGGTGGTGCACATTAATTTCTATTGATCGTTATGGCATCAATTCAGGCAATGTATCGCAATATGGATTTTTGTCCATATTGCCCTGCTCTACTTTTATGTACCCATGTTCACAGACACGCTCACGCAAACACACAAGGCATCTAATATCTGGAACAGAACACAGCATTAGCCTCAGGTAAAGTCATTCTAAATTTCTCAGGACAGTAGGACAATGCTGCTGAAATAACAGCCTGAGGAAACAAAACAAAGCATTCCAGAACAACAGAGGGACATAGAAAAGCATCAGAAGAACTTGTTCCTCAGGCTTTGCTCTTTATTGTTCGCCTGATAAAAACAAGTAAATATCCTTGCTCTCTTCAGGAAGGATGTAGTCTATCAAAAGCCTGATGTTACAATATCGGGATGATCGTTAGGAAGAGATACACATTGTTTTACAGATTGCTTACTGTGCAGAATTTAGTCAGGATATTCTAGGCAAATATATTGTACACTTAGCACTGTAGAAAAAGCCTTGCGTTCTGTACATACAGTTTATATGTATGTATATATATATATATATATATATATATATATACAGTTGAAGTCGTAAGTTTACATACACCTTAGCCAAATACATTTAAACTCAGTTTTTCACGTTTAATCCTAGTAAAAATTCCCTGTCTTAGGTCAGTTAGGATCACCACTTTATTTTAAGAATGTGAAATGTCAGAATAATAGTAGAGAGAATGATTTATTTCAGCTTTTATTTCTTTCATCACATTCCCAGTGGGTCAGAAGTTTACATACAGTGGGGAAAAAAAGTATTTAGTCAGCCACCAATTGTGCAAGTTCTCCAACTTAAAAAGATGAGAGAGGCCTGTAATTTTCATCATAGGTACACGTCAACTATGACAGACAAAATGAGGGAAAAAAATCCAGAAAATCACATTGTAGGATTTTTAATGAATTTATTTGCAAATTATGGTGGAAAATAAGTATTTGGTCAATAACAAAAGTTTCTCAATACTTTGTTATATACCCTTTGTTGGCAATGACACAGGTCAAACGTTTTCTGTAAGTCTTCACAAGGTTTTCACACACTGTTGCTGGTATTTTGGCCCATTCCTCCATGCAGATCTCCTCTAGAGCAGTGATGTTTTGGGGCTGTCGCTGGGCAACACGGACTTTCAACTCCCTCCAAAGATTTTCTATGGGGTTGAGATCTGGAGACTGGCTAGGCCACTCCAGGACCTTGAAATGCTTCTTACGAAGCCACTCCTTCGTTGCCCGGGCGGTGTGTTTGGGATCATTGTCATGCTGAAAGACCCAGCCACGTTTAATCTTCAATGCCCTTGCTGATGGAAGGAGGTTTTCACTAAAAATCTCATGATACATGGCCCCATTCATTCTTTCCTTTACACGGATCAGTCGTCCTGGTCCCTTTGCAGAAAAACAGCCCCAAAGCATGATGTTCCCACCCCCATGCTTCACAGTAGGTATGGTGTTCTTTGGATGCAACTCAGCATTCTTTGTCCTCCAAACACGACGAGTTGAGTTTTTACCAAAAAGTTATATTTTGGTTTCATCTGACCATATGACATTCTCCCAATCCTCTTCTGGATCATCCAAATGCACTCTAGCAAACTTCAGACGGGCATGGACATGTACTGGCTTAAGCAGGGGGACACGTCTGGCACTGCAGGATTTGAGTCCCTGGCGGCGTAGTGTGTTACTGATGGTAGGCTTTGTTACTTTGGTCCCAGCTGTCTGCAGGTCATTCACTAGGTCCCCCGTGTGGTTCTGGGATTTTTGCTCACCGTTCTTGTGATCATTTTGACCCCACAGGGAGAGATCTTGCGTGGAGCCCCAGATCGAGGGAGATTATCAGTGGTCTTGTATGTCTTCCATTTCCTAATAATTGCTCCCACAGTTGATTTCTTCAAACCAAGCTGCTTACCTATTGCAGATTCAGTCTTCCCAGCCTGGTGCAGGTCTACAATTTTGTTTCTGGTGTCCTTTGACAGCTCTTTGGTCTTGGCCATAGTGGAGTTTGGAGTGTGACTGTTTGAGGTTGTGGACAGGTGTCTTTTATACTGATAACAAGTTCAAACAGGTGCCATTAATACAGGTAACGAGTGGAGGACAGAGGAGCCTCTTAAAGAAGAAGTTACAGGTCTGTGAGAGCCAGAAATCTTGCTTGTTTGTAGGTGACCAAATACTTATTTTCCACCATAATTAGCAAATAAATTCATAATGTGATTTTCTGGAGAAAAAAAATCTCACTTTGTCTGTCATAGTTGACGTGTACCTATGATGAAAACTACAGGCCTCTCTCATCTTTTTAAGTGGGAGAACTTGCACAATTGGTGGCTGACTAAATACTTTTTTCCCCCACTGTACACTCAATTAGTATTTGGTAGCATTGCCTTTAAATTGTTTAACTTGGGTCAAACGTTTCGGGTAGCCTTCCACAAGCTTCCCACAATAAGTTGGGTGAATTTTGGCCCATTCCTCCTGACAGAGCTGGTGTAACTGAGTCAGGTTTGCAGGACTCCTTGCTCACACACGCTTTTTCAGTTCAGCCCACAAATGTTCTATAGGATTGAGGTCAGGGCTTTGTGATGGCCACTCCAATACCTTGACTTTGTTGTCCTTAAGCCATTTTGCCACAACTTTGGAAGTATGCTTGGGGTCATTGTCCATTTGGAAGACCTATTTGCGACCAAGCTTTAACTTCCTGACTGATGTCTTGAGATGTTGCTTCAATATATCCACATAGTTTTCCTTCCTCATGATGCCATCTATTTTGTGAAGTGCACCAGTCCCTCCTGCAGGAAAGCACCCCCACAGCATGATGCTGCCACCCCCGTGCTTCATGGTTGGGATGATGTTCTCCGGATTGCAAGCTACCCACCTTTTCCTCCAAACATAACGATGGTCATTATGGCCAAACAGTTCTATTTTTGTTTCATCAGACCAGAGGACATTTCTCCAAAAAGTACGATCTTTGTCCCCATGTGCAGTTGCAAACCGTAGTCTGGCTTTTTTATGGCGGTTTTGGAGCAGTGGCTTCTTGCTTGCTGAGCGGCCTTTCAGGTTATGTCGATATAGGACTTGTTTTACTGTGGATATAGATACTTTTGTACCTCTTTCCTCCAGCATCTTCACAAGGTCCTTTGCTGTTGTTCTGGGATTGATTTGCACTTTTCGCACCAAAGTACGTTAATCTCTAGGAGACAGAACTTATCTCCTTCTTGAGCGGTATGACGGCTGTGTGGTCCCAAGGTGTTTATACTTGCGTACTATTGTTTGTACAGATGAATGTGGTACCTTCAGGCATTTGGAAATTGTTCCCAAGGATGAACCAGACTTGTGGAGGGCTACAATTTCTTTTCTGAGGTCTTGGCTGATTTCTTTTGATTTTCCCATGATGTCAAGCAAAGAGGCACTGAGTTTGAAGGTAGGCCTTGAAATACATCCACAGGTACACCTCCAATTGACTCAAATTATGTCAATTAGCCTTTCAGAAGCTTCTAAAGCCATGAAATCATTTTCTGGAATTTTCCAAGCTGTTTTAAAGTACAGTCAACTTAGTGTATGTAAACTTCTGACCCCCTGGAATTGTGATACAGTGAATTATAAGAAAAATAATCTGTCTGTAAACAATTGTTGGAAAAATTACTTGTGTCATGCACAAAGTAAATGTCCTAACCGACTTGCCAAAACTATAGTTTGTTAACAAGAAATTGATGGAGTGGTTGAAAAACGAGTTTTAATGACTCCAAACTAAGTGTATGTAAACTTCCAACTTCAACTGTATATACAGTCGTGGTCAAAAGTTTTGAGAATGACACAAGTATTGGTCTTCACAAAGTTCGCTGCTTCAGTGTTATGAGATATTTTTGTCAGATGTTACTATGGTATACTGAAGTATAATTACAAGCATTCCATAAGTGTCAAAGGCTTTTATTGACAAGTACATTAAGTTTATGCAAAGAGTCAATATTTGCAGTGTTGACCCTTCTTTTTCAAGACCTCTGCAATCCGCCCTGGCATGCTGTCAATTAACTTCTGGGCCACATCCTGACTGATGGCAGCCCATTCTTGCATTATCAATGCTTGGAGTTTGTCAGAATTTGTGGGTTTTTGTTTGTCCACCCGCCTCTTGAGGATCGACCACAAGTTCTCAATGGGATTAAGGTCTGGGGAGTTTCCTGGACATGGACCCAAAATGTCGATGTTTTGTTCCCCGAGCCACTTAGTTATCACTTTTGCCTTATGGCAAGGTGTTCCATCATGCTGGAAAAGGCATTGGTCGTCACCAAACTGTTCTTGGATGGTTGGGAGAAGTTGCTCTCGGAGGATGTGTTGGTACCATTCTTTATTCATGGCTGTGTTCTTAGGCAAAATTGTGAGTGAGCCCACTCCCTTGGCTGAGAAGCAACCCCACACATGAATGGTCTCAGGATGCTTTACTGTTGGCATGACACAGGACTGATGGTAGCGCTCACCTTGTCTTTTCCGGACAAGGTGTTTTCCGGGTACCCCAAACAATCGGAAAGGGGATTCATCAGAGAAAATGACTTTACCCCAGTCCTCAGCAGTCCAATCCCTGTACCTTTTGCAGAATATCAGTCTGTCCCTGATCTTTTTCCTGGAGAGAAGTGGCTTCTTTGCTGCCCTTCTTGACACCAGGCCATCCTCCAAAAGTCTTCGCCTCACTATGCGTGCAGATGCACTCACACCTGCCTGCTGCCATTCCTGAGCAAGCTCTGCACTGGTGGTGCCCCGATCCCGCAGCTGAATCAACTTTAGGAGACGGTCCTGGTGCTTGCTGGACTTTCTTGGGCGCCCTGACGCCGTCTTCACAACAATTGAACCGCTCTCCTTGAAGTTGTTGATGATCCGATAAATGGTTGATTTAGGTGCAATCTTACTAGCAGCAATATCCTTGCCTGTGAAGCCCTTTTTGTGCAAAGCAATGATGACAGCACGTGTTTCCTTGCAGGTAACCATGGTTAACAGAGGAAGAACTATGATTTCAAGCACCACCCTCCTTTTAAAGCTTCCAGTCTGTTATTCTAACTCAATCAGCATGACAGAGTGATCTCCAGCCTTGTCCTCGTCAACACTCTCACCTGTGTTAACGAGAGAATCACTGACATGATGGCAGCTGGTCCTTTTGTGGCAGGGCTGAAATGCAGTGGAAATGTTTTTGGGGGATTAAGTTCATTTTCATTGCAAAGAGGGACTTTGCAATTAATTGCAATTCTTCTGATCACTCTTCATGACGTTTTGGAGTATATGCAAATTGCCATCATCAAAACTGAGGCAGCAGACTTTGTGAAAATTAGTATTCGTGTCATTCTCAAAACTTTTGACCACGACTGTATATATCCGGGCCTTATGCCAGACTTTGCCCTGGTGTGAGTTTAAGTCCTACAACTGTCTTTAACTCCTAATTGACCCTCCTTTGCAATGATTTATGGAACCTCTCTATGGGGTTAGACTAAAGCATTTAACATGAGCAAACCATTCTCTGCCCCGAGGCAAAAGCGCACCCCAGAGATGACAGCTAGGGAATCGTCAACCCTTTCCCCATCGTAAATACAAACGGAAGGATATTTCACCCTCATGCACTCTGTTAAAGAGCCAGGTGACAAACGATGACGCGTTATCACCATTTAGATGTAAATTAAGTCATATCCAAGGTGAAAAGTGCTTTGAAATGCTTCCCTGGAGGCATAGGCACACTCAAATGAGTATTCATACTATGTCAGAGAGAGACGGCTATTTTAGCGACAAGGAGGAATGGGCTACCTGCTCCCAGGCGAATATGTGTTGGTTGAAGTAGAACTGGATCTGTTCGTTGGCAATGTTGATGCAGAGCTGCTCAAATGAGTTCCTCTTGAAGTTCTCAAAGCCAAAGATGTCCAGGATGCCAATGTTCAGGCCCTTGTCATCCTCTCTGTCAGGGGAGATCAGAAATGATTAGGTATTAAGGAAGAGCATTAGAGACTATGAGGTGGAGAGAGAAAGATCAGGAAGGTTTATAATGATGACAGTCATTATGATTAGCATCTACTAGTGAGGTTTATGTTTATTTTCAGGGTATCCTCTACACACACATACACACATGCTCTCTTACCCTAGGTGTGTGTCGGGTCGGAGCAGGGTGTTGATGCGGTTGACGATCCAGCTGAAGAGCCTGCCGTACAGGGCCTTGCCCATGGCGTCCCTCACCTCCGTGGCCTTCTCCACCGTGTTGGGCCTGACGATGGTCTCGCCCCGGGCTACTACGCAGTGGGACGTCAGGGCCTCGTGGAGCTCGTCTGGACGGATACACAGCAGCGACGCCGCTGTGGGGAGAAACCCAGGGATGGAAAGAATGTATAGATACTGGATGTTGTCACCATAGAAGCGGTCCTGCAGTAGTGAGGTTTGCATGTAGATTTGCAGAGACAACACAGAAAACATGCATATAAACATGGATATAGACATGTAGTATGGGTAGACATGCAGCAGGGAGGACATTGTTGGGACGATATACTGTATGTGTACATAAACATGATGAAAATGTAGATTTACACATTCAGAGAGATATCCTGTACATGTACTTTACACATAACAGACATAGTAGAAAATAATAAGTCCTTTAAGAAGACATGCAGATATCCCACATGCACGCATCAGCAAAACAAAACCATACATGACACACCACATAAACAACAACACAAATCTCAACACACACACAGACATAAATACAGCCATCCTGACATAGACACACACATTCATATTTATCAAAACGAGATAACATTTCTTCAAACTGCAGCTGGTAAAATAAGATAACTGGCTCTCACACCATGATACAGATGCAAGACTACACTCTTAGAAAAAAGGGTTCCAAAAGGGTTCTTCGGCTGTCCCCATAGGAGAACCCTTTTGGGTTTCATGTAGAACCCTCTCTGGAAAGGTTTTTACATGGAACCCAAAAGGGTTCTACCTGGAACCAAAACAGTTCTACCTGGAACCAAAAAGGGTTCTTCAAAGGGTTATCCTATGGGGATAAATTAAAATAATCAAACACAACTAAGTCCCCATGTCAGGCGTATCAAGCCTGAATGTAAAGGAAATGCATGTAAACAGGCTTGAGATACTGTAGTGCTTTATATCTCCACTGTTCACGCTAGGTTGGCCTCTCTGGAGAGGTAACAGGCATTAGGGGGAAAGAGGTGAGAGTCATGTTAGCTTTACATCACACCAGGGGCTGAACTGTGCGTCTGTGTCTCACCATTCTCCAGAACTGCTATGTTGGAGATGTTGCTTTTGTCGGTTTGGTGCTCTGAGGCCACAGAGGCAAACTCAATGTCGCCTGAGTTTAGGATAGCAGCCAGAGTGCTGTACACACTGCCCAGCTCCTAAGGGTTCAAAATGTATGGTTAAACTTGACCTTATTGTTCAGAATATAGCACATTCATAATTTGATACAAAGTCATGGAATACTCATTTGTAGATTTCATCTGATGGTTTTTTCATAGATTCAGTGGTTCTATTGGAACTACTTAGTTAATAGCATTGGGTCTTGGTAGCCTACAGCCGGACAGAATTCCTACATCATACAAAGTCTATTTGATGGCTTTGGCATCACTGTCACATGCCAAGTCCTAATGTCACTATACTCAGACTGACATCACTGACAAGCTCATAATAACTCTGCTCTCTCTTGATGGGGAGCTGCTATCCAAAAGCTTGCAAGGTTAAAAGCTAGTATGGTTTTGAACACCTCTCCTCCATGTGACCTACTTGTTGTGTGTATGTACTGACATGCATGTGTAACTGATAGATGCACACACACACACACACACACACACACACACACACACACACACACACACGCACACACACTTCATGTTAATGTTTTTAAATGTAAGTAAATTGTAAAGTATTTTGTCTGTAATGTCTTTTCGTTATGTGTCGGACCACAGTAAGACTAGCTATCGCCATTGGTGTCGGCTAATGGGGATCCTAATAAATCAAATCAAATCAAATCAAAATCAATTTAATCCCAATCAGAGATGCACTTTAGATGCACCCTGTCTTTATGTGCAAGGTAGACAGGAGAATGGGAGGTAGCTGTACTAGCAGAGTGGTTAGTGATTATAGTGATTATACTGTATGTACCATAAGTACTATTGACTTGAGGACCCCAGAGGCAATCAGTTATTTATGGCACTTCCTTGGGCTTCATCAGTGTCCATGTTGCTAATTGCAAACTGAACAAAGCATCATGCCATGGTCCACACTGACTCATATGACAGCTAAGAACAACACTGGAAATCAATGTCTTGACTATTCAACCAGGAACTGCTTCATGGTAATTGCACATTTCACATAGGCTATTGCACATTAATTACTTTTTTCCTTTGAATTCATCATTTATTATAATTTCCCCTTTTCACAACCAAGAGAATAAAATAGGAGCCATTTGTGACGAAACATACATACATTTTTTTTAAATAAAGCATCATAACATGGCAAAGACACTCTCCACATAGAGAGCAACCTAGTAAAATATTCTCCAGGCTTTAACTGAGAACGGTTATGTGTGTAACCTTGGGACAGGAGGTTTTATTTGCTTTAGGAATCAGTAATGAACCCAATGTCCTGTAGTGTATGTACCTCCAGGGTAAAGCCGATGACTTTGAAACACTGTTCCACCGCGTCAAACTGCTCCTTGTAGAAGGTGTTGTTCACTATGTCAGGGCCCAATTTAATGTGCTCGTTGAACAGATACCTGGGACAGAAGAAAGAAAAATGAACCACAAATAAGGTCATGATTGGGGGGTTAAGGCAGCAGAGTAGGTTATTAGGAAATTATAGTGTTAAGAGAGATAGGAAGGTTAATTGTGGGACCTACTTTGGGGTTTTGCTGTCTGATAGCTTGTAGTGGGCAAGTTTCTTCCTCTCGGCTAAACCAGCGTAGACGTAGTAGAATATGTGGAAGTTCTTCTCACCTCTGTAAGGACAGTCACAGGACAGGAATATGTCATCACATTAATATGTTTGATGATTGAAACACAAAGAATATTAATCACATCCAAGTCTGTCAGCTATGATTGCCTAGGATTACCAGAAGCCTATTTACAATCTCATAAAAAGCCAAAGATACAGTAAGATGTACTCTGAAACACATAATTGGCAAGCAACCAAGCTAATCTAGACTGCTGTGTTAAGTCAATTGTGATAGACTGTCATCAGTTTTAAAGCTATTTGTCATGCAATACTTATCACACCCGATTATAGGCTTCATGAGGGTTACATTTATACCACTTATTTATAATATAATTTTATTTCCCCCACATATATTTTTCCATTCCAGAAGAAAATCGACTTTTGGCACCAAAGACAATATAACCCCAGGAGAGAATTGGCACTTTGAATCTAGGCAGTAGGCACAGAGTTAACTGACAGACAACATTACTCTCAGAGAGTGCACCGATCCTTCACCCTTAGTCTGAATTTATCTCCCAAGAGCAAAAAGTCACCCTTTGAAGCCCCAATGAGGAGACATCGAGAGCTAGAATCTTTGATCAAACAGGAAATAAGCTATCCCCTCTCACTCGACCCTCTGCACTCCCTGGCCATGGGATAATACAACAGGAGGAATAAACTGCAGTGGGAAGGCAGTTCCACCAGCTTCAGAGGGACAGAGAAAAACATCTCCCAATTATCCCTTGCCCTGCTTGACCAGAGGCTGCTAAGAAATTATAGAAGTAATGACTTTTGAGCAAATAGATGGACACACATATTAATTGGCCATTGGCCACAATCTGAATGTTGTTGTCATATGAAAGTCACAAGAATGCCTTATACATATTACATGAAGGCTATGTGCAAGTCAGATGAGGGCCATATGAATGCCTTAGTAAAGCTGTCTGAGAGGTTTTACGTGGCCTGATGGATGACGCGGGATTTCTCCAGGAGGTATTCAGAGATTTGCGCTCCGACAACGGTCCCCCCACAGGTAAACTTCATCTCCAGGTATTTCCCGAAGCGGCTGGAGTTGTCGTTGATGGCGGTGCACGCGTTCCCAAAAGCCTCCACCAAGTTATTGACCAATAGGATCTTCTCTTGGAGTGATCGATTATTGGCCTGCAAAGATATGGACGATCAGCATAAAACATATAATTTTAAGTGATGAGTAACAATAAAAACATGATCTGCAATGTTGTGCTGTAACAGGCAAAGTATCATGTTTGCTATCACAAGTGAACATGAAGTGCTGTAATTACATTCTAGTAATTTTTTATCTCACCTTTCCAAGCACTGTGAGCTGCTGGACCAATAGATGGGCGCTCTCTGTCTTTCCTGCACCGCTCTCTCCACTGATGATAATGCACTGCACAGAAACAACCAATCACCAGTTACTATGGTATTCTGATCTACTGACATGTTGCTATGCTTATACAGCACATACAGAATGTACTGTATCATTCATACATTATAGTTGAAATGGACTCGTGTACCTGGTCTGCGTTGTATGACACCATGGACTGGTAGGCTATGTCAGCGACAGCAAAGATGTGTGGCGGGTTGGCAGTGCGTTTAGCTCCTATGTACATCTTTGTGTACTGTGCAAGGAAAAGGATAAGGCACATGTAAGGGGATTTCATTTGAATTTGATACCAACAAGTAAGCTTGCTACACTATGTGCAGCTAATATGGGCTAAATCAAAATAAAACAACTTTCTAGCTGCCTTCTAGTATAGCAAAAAGAGAAAGAGATTAAAGACACGCTCCGGAACTTTGGCGAATAATATGTATTTTTTAAACCTTCCTCTTTGGGCTGGATGTGTCAATGTGTAATTCATACATGCATAATCTATGAGCAGAATTACGGTTTTACATCAATTAGCCACAAAATCCCTAGTTTGAAAGTGACTGTTTTTCTGGAGGCTGTGCCATTTTCCCCCAGGTGGGCCAGCCCCCTAGCAATTCGAGTTCAACCAATGAGCTTCAGCCCCTCGCCAATTGAGTGACTGTTAGCAAGAGGCATATCATGCACACACAGCAGAGTGAGAGTGAGCCATTTACTTTATGTTCGTATTCCTTTTCTAATTTCTAATTGTTGTTGCATTGCTGAGAAGGAACCTGCAAGTAAGCATTTCGTTGGACGGTGTATACCATATGTATCCCATACATACGACTAATAAAACTTGAAACTTGAGAGCAATGACGTGGTACCACTTTTGGCTCGTGAGCACTACTTTCAGAACTATTTTCAGAACTACTGGCTAGAAAGTACACAAAAGTACCGGAGAATCTTTTTAAGCAATTTTCAAAAATGTGTTTATTCCCATTACAGTGCAAGATACACACTCATCAGTGCAGGTGCTACTATTCTAAGTAATGACTAGTTTAATTATGTACAACATGCCACATTGGACAATATAACTTAACAGTAGTATCATGGCATTTGGTCTTGAAGGGTTCAATTACAAAAACATCAGCAGTTCCACTACAAAATAATACTTTTTCCAGAACTGCATACACTCTAAAAAGAGAGGTTGTCAAGAAACCTTGTGATAAATGGAAAAGTGTGGCCAGTGAAGAGTGGAAGAGAGAGCGAGATAGAGAGAGAGAGAGCGAGTGAGAGACACAGCGGGAGTGTGGAAGTGAAACAGAGGAGAGAGGAAGTGGGGCACTGAGGCCCTAATGAGATATGGTCGGGTACATTCAGTAGTGTGTGTTTGACCAAATTAACACACACGCTCGCAGGAACACACACAAACAAACACACATCACACACACACACATACACACACCTGTGGGCTATACAGCTCCATCTTGTGAAATGGGTTAACTGCGATGAGGATGTCTCCAACGTAGGTATAGATCTGGTCCTTGGCGTAGCGCCTCTGAAGCTGCTCTGTGACTGAATTCTGGGAAGAGATCAAACATGCACATTCAATATTGTGACATTCAAAGGTATTAATTGATGTGAGATGAGACGTCAATACAGTATTTCAGTATCGTTTGATGAGGGCCTAGGTTTAGTGCAATGATTACTGAGGAAACATTGCAGTAAGATTAACAATTATTAGGATTGCTTACAGTATGTTGGTAAATTGGCGATATATCTGTCAGCATAAATAAGCAATATGCAACATAACATAAATGTACACTGTCGTTGTTTACATGAATATGAGCATTCTGGACTCAGTTCCATTTATCATCTCCGCCTTGATTTCATTAGGCGTTGTGCTCAGAACATACATTCTGTTTCCACCCCCTCCCTCGGCCCAGACTAGGATATAAACAAAACCAGCCATGTAGAAGAATGGGCGAAAATATCCCGAGGCGACTGAGCAATTTGTATGTTTCAATATGTCAATGGAGCACTCAGTTTGATAAATCACCCTAAATGTGTTTGGTACAAATATTGCTATTTTGCTTCTATGTTCCCATTCATTTAATACTGGTGCAGAGACTAGAGAGGAGTAATTCTGAGAGGAAACCCTCTCCTAACCTAAACTGTGGGTGGTTATCAATAACCTCCACTCTTAGGAAAAAAGGTGCTATCTAGAACCTAAAGGGGTTCTTTGGCTGTCCCCATAGGAGAACCCTTTGAAGAACCCTTTTTGGTTCCAGGTAGAACCCTTTCCACAGAAACCCCAAAATAACCCAAAAGGGTTCTATCTGGAACCAAAAATAGTTATACCTGGAACCAAAAAGGGTTCTCCTATGGGGACAGCCGAATAACCATTTTGGAACCTTTTTTTCCAAGAGTGTAGGTCATGTATGGCAGCGTTGATGAGGATGGGGGCAACAAAAAATCTGAACTCATCATGAGGGGCTGCAGTGGCTCATGGATCTGTGTACCCACATCCATACCCACACATGCAGTCAGAGCCGGCCCTAGCCTTTTGGGGGCCCTAAGCGAAAAAATTAAAGTTGCTTCCGTTTTTGGAAATGTATCCGTGGGCCTACAAAAAAGGAAGTCGGCCGCCAGTTGCCCATCCCCGACCTAGGTTATTAATACCATATGAGAATAAAATATAACCACCTTGACACTGATTAACACAAAGCCGATTCTGTTTTTGTGTGGATCTGAAAGGATTGAATAGATTTTAGCAACATGGCTAACAATTCCACCTATTGGCTAAGGGGAAGCTATTACCATTTTGATAATACATATCCAATATCTTCAGCCAATTTAATCCCCTACCTCATCAAGTACTTCCAGGGTGACAAGGTCATCCACTTCGTCGTGTGTGGGGCTTGATGACATCATTTGACCACCTTTCTTTGTGTGGATGCGCTCATGCCTACAACACAGAATGCAAATATAAAGTCTAAAGCAACTAGTTGCATCTAAACAACTAACTTAGAACTACAACATAGCTAAGTGATTGCAGTAGATGAATCCAGCATTTATCAATGGCTTCACATAACATTCCTCTATTATGTTATTTTATTGACACCTTCTTCTCCTTTTACTTTCTATCTACTTAAATTAAACAAATCTCCCCCATCCACACACTCCCACATTAAAAAATACTACAGTTTACTATAAAATACTACAGTACTTACAATAGAATTCTGTAGTAAACTGTGGTATACTGTAGAATACTAAACTACATACTTTAGTATCCTTCGATCATGTGTAGTACTTACTATATCATTTTGTAGTATACTGTAGAATACTATAGTAAATACTACAGTATACTACAGTCTGCAAAAACACTACAGTCCGCAAAAACAATACCGTTTTTTAAACTATAGTAATATTACAGTATTTCATTTGCATATACCCTGCCGATTCCCATTTGTACCACCAATAAGTGAGAAACCTATACTACATGCCAATATAGACCATATATTGTGTTCCATACAGATTATAGAAAAGAGCAGAAGCGCTGAACTATCCGTTCAGACCCCAGTCCTACATACCTAGAGTTATGGATTTTTTTTTGGTATTTCTCCAGTACAGTACCAGTCAAAAGTTTGGACACACCTACTCATTCAAGGGTTTTTCTTTCTTTCTTTACTATTTTCTACATTGTATAATAATAGTGAAGACATCAAAACTATGAAATAACACATATGGAATCATGAGGTAACCAAAAAAGTGTTAAACAAACATTTGAGATTCTTCAAAGTAGCCACCCTTTGCCTGGATGACAGCTTTGCAAACTCTTGAAATTCTCTCAAACAGCTTCACCTGGAATGCTTTTCCAACAGTCTTGAAGGAGTTCCCACATATACTGAGCACTTGTTGGCTGCTTTTCCTTCACTCTGCGGTCCAACTCATCCCAAACCATCTCAATTGGGTTGAGGTAAAGGGTGATTGTGGATGCCAGGTCATCTCATGCAGCACTCCATCACTCTCCTTCTTGGTCAAATAGCCCTTACACAGCCTGGAAGTGTGTTGGGTCATTGTCCTGTTGAAAAACAAATGATAGTCCCACTAAGTGCAAACCAGATGGGATGGCGTATCGCTGCAGAATGCTGTGGTAGCCATGCTGGTTAAGTGTGGCTTGAATTGTAAATAAATCACAGACAGTGTCACCAGCAAAGCACCCCCACACCATCACACCTCCTCCTCCATGCTTCACGGTGGGAACCACACATGCGGAGATCATCCGTTCACCTACTCTGCGTCTCACAAAGACACGGCGGTTGGAACCAAGAATCTCAAATTTGGACTCATATTTCCACTGGTCTAATGTCCATTGCTCTTGTTTCTTGGCCCAAGCAAGTCTCTTCTTCTTATTGGTGTCCTTTCGTAGTGGTTTCTTTGCAGCAATTCGACCATGAAGGCCTGATTCACGCAGCCTCCTCTGAACAGTTGATGTTGAAATGTGTCTGTTACTTGAACTCTGTGAAGCATTTATTTGGGCTACAATTTCTGAGGCTGGTAACTCTAATGAACTTATACTCTGCAGCAGAGGTAACTCTGGGTCTTCCTTTCCTGTGGCGGTCCTCATGAGAGCCAGTTTCATCACAGCGCTTGATGGTTTTTGCGACTGCACTTGAAGAAACGTTCAAAGTTCTTGACATTTTCCGCATTGACTGACCTTCATGTCTTAAAGTAATGATGGACTGTCGTTTCTCTTTGCTTATTTGAGCTTTTCTTGACATAATATGGACTTGGTCTTTTACCAAATAGGGCTATCTTCTGTATACCCCCCTACCTTGTCACAACACAACTGATTGGCTCAAACGCATTAAGAAGGAAAGAAATTCCACAAATTAACGTTTAACAAGGCACAGCTGTTAATTGAAATGTATTCCAGGTGACTACCTCATAAAGCTGGTTGAGAGAATGCCAAGAGTGTGCAAAGCTGTCATCAAGGCAAAGGGTGGCTACTTTGAAGAATCTCAAATCTAAAATATGTTTTGATTTGTTTAACACTTTTTTGGTTACTAAATGATACCATACAGTTGAAGTCAGAAGTTTACATACACTTAGGTTGGAGTCATTAAAACTAGTTTTTCAACCACTCTACAAATTTCTTGATAAACAAACTATAGTTTTGGCAAGTCAGTTAGGACATCTACTTTGTGCATGACAGAAGTAATTTATCCAACAATTGTTTACAGACAGATTATTTCACTTATAATTCACTTTATCACAATTCCAGTGGCTCAGAAGTTTACATACACTAAGTTGACTGTGCCTTTAAACAGCTTGGAAAATTCTAGAAAATTATGTCATGGCTTTAGAAGCTTCTGACATCATTTGAGTCAATTGGAGGTGTATCTGTGGATGTATTTCAAGGCCAGCCTTCAAACTCAGTGCCTCTTTGCTTGACATCATGGGAAAATCAAAAGAAATCAGCCAAGACCTCCACAAGTCTGGTTCATCCTTGGGAGCAATTTCCAAACGCCTGAAGGTACCATGTTCATCTGTACAAACAATAGTACGCAAGTATAAACACCATGGGACCACGCAGCCGTCATACCGCTCAGGAAGGAGACGCGTTCTGTCTCCTAGAGATTAATGTACTTTGGTGCGTAAAGTGCAAATCAATCCCAAAACAACAGCAAAGGACCTTGTGAAGATGCTGGAGGAAACAGGTACAAAAGTATCTATATCCACAGTAAAAACATGTCTTATATCGACATAACCTGAAAGGCCGCTCAGCAAGCAAGAAGCCACTGCTCCAAAACCGCCATAAAAAAGCCAGACTACGGTTTGCAACTGCACATGGGGACAAAGATCATACTTTTTGGAGAAATGTCCTCTGGTCTGATGAAACAAAAATAGAACTGTTTGGCCATAATGACCATCGTTATGTTTGGAGGAAAAGTGGGTGGCTTGCAAGCCGAAAAACACCATCCCAACCGTGAAACACGGGGGTGGCAGCATCATGCTGTGGGGGTGCTTTGCTGCAGGAGGGACTGGTGCACTTCACAAAATAGATGGCATCACGAGGAAGGAAAATTATGTGGATATATTGAAGCAACATCTCAAGACATCAGTCAGGAAGTTAAAGCTTGGTCGCAAATGGGTCTTCCAAATGAACAATGACCCAAAGCATACTTCCAAAGTTGTGGCAAAATAGCTTAAGGACAACAAAGTCAAGGTATTGGAGTGGCCATCACAAAGCCCTGACCTCAATCCTATAGAAAATGTGTGGGCAGAAATGAAAAAGCGTGTGCGAGCAAGGAGGCCTACAAACCTGACTCAGTTACACCAGCTCTGTCAGGAGGAATGTGCCAAAATTCACCCTACTTATTGTGGGAAGCTTGTGGAAGGCTACCCGAAAGATTTGACCCAAGTTAAACAATTTAAAGGCAATGCTACCAAATACGAATTGAGTGTATGTAAACTTCTGACCCACTGGGAATGTGATGAAATAAATAAAATATGAAATAAATCATTCTCTCTACTATTATTCTGACATTTCACATTCTTAAAATACAGTGGTGATCCTAACTAACCTAAGACAGATAATTTTATACTAGTATTAAATATCAGGAATTGTGAAAAACTGAGTTTAAATGTATTTGGCTAAGGTGTATGTAAACTTCCGACTTCAACTGTATGTGTCATTTCATAGTTTTGATGTCTTCACTATTATTCTACAATGTAGAAAATAGTAAAAATAAAGAAAAACCCTGGAATGAGTAGGTGTGTCCAAACCTTTGACTGGTACTGTATACTACAATTTGTTTTACTATAGTAATACTACAGTATTTATACTATAGTATTTTTCCATGTGGGCTGATCAATCTAGATCGAATCACTCTAGATCAGGGGTCTCCAACCCTGTTACAGGAGAGCTAAACTGTAAACAGTAAACTACCATCCTGTAGGTTTTCATTCCAACCCAGTTTTAACTAACCTGATTCAGCTTATCAACCAGCTAATTATTAGAATCAATCAGGTGCTCTAGATTAGGGTTGGTGCAAAAACCTACAGGACGTTTGCTCTCCAATAACAGGGTAGGAGAGCCCTGGTCTAGATCTATGCACGCTGTGCTTCTACAGAAGCTTTTTACCACCGATGAGCACCTCTCTTGAGTGCGACTCCAAACAAGCGTTTACCTCCCCAGGTGGATAAAGGTTGAGGCTGACCACAACAGAGCTTGACCAACTCTTAAACAAACAAATTGTTGGTCCCCACTGATCTTATTGTTATTGTGTCTAACTGGCTAGTAGCTCCTTTTCCTGTTTTTTCCTTCCTTGCCTTGAGTGGTGGCACGACATGTCTTAATCCACGCTGTTTGACTCTACTGGCTGATTGTGCTTCACCTGATTGTAAAATGGCCGCTTCCGCTGTGACAATGTCATTTTTCCCCTATTTGATTGGTCATACATTGTTTGATTTGTTAAAACATGGGTATAGGTTACAAAACTACAGTCAAAGTTAGACATGAAACAGAAGACAGAGGAACGAACAACACATCTACACCCAAAAGGGTCTAGACTGACTAAAACACATCATGGAACACAAGGATGCCAGTGTCATCCTTAGATGTCGACAACAATCATCTAGACACAGCACAATGACTTGATTTCAGAAAAGTGCTGGGTAGTGGGTAGGCTACAAACTACAGTCTACAGTTAGGGCTTTGATTAGACATAATACGTGGGCAGGTAACTAGCTACCCCTACAAGTGCATTCATATCCCCTACCTGTCGTTACTGTCTGTGCTTCTGTCTGTCTTTCCATGATGGCTTAAATGACAGAAATAACATTACAGTTCATAAGCAGGATATGATATGCAGTTGCAGTGATTGAACTTGATATCTGGGCTTCAGGGGCCCAACATTTGACACAAAATCTGACTCATAACTTCTCCTCCTTCAGTCACTGCTGAAACCTTGAGCCTGAAGGTGACACAATATCCAGCTGATGCGCAATTTGGATTACTGTCTACATCCAAGTTAAGATGATGCCTATTTCCTCCAATGGCAGACAGTTGTGCAACCAGTAGGAACGTAATATAACGTAATGCAACTTCAAGTACTGTGTGGAGTAGATGAAGCTTGAGTTTGAAAGTTAAGATTAAACAAATCCACTACATGTCGACATTGGATCGCGGCATGGGTCCCTTTTGTAGATAACAAGTGACATGACTGTACTATAACATGTAAAACATGCAAGGTTATATAAGAATATTTATAAACTAGGTGGTTCGAGCCCTGAATGCTGATTGGCTGACAGCCATGGTATATCAGACCGTATACCACGGGTATGACAAAACGTTTATTTTTACTGCTCTAATTACATTGGTAACCAGTTTATAATAGCAATAAGGAACCTCGGGGGTTTGTGGTATACGGCCAATATACTACGGCTAAGGACTGTATCCAGGCCTACAAACAGCCCTTAGCCGTGGTATATTGGTCATACACCACACACCCTCGTGCCTTATTGCTTAAATATACATGACCAACAGGGAGATGTTATGAAATACATTATGACATTCATATGGAAGGAGTTTCTAGAATGCACCATATGTAATGCAAAGGTCAATTGGATCCTGAATACATAGTGCTATGTGGTGCCTTTGTAGCCTTTATCCTTCTGCCATTGGCTAACAGAGGTCATCTGCATCATGACAGTACCTTGTCTTCCCAGTGGTTCCTATCTGCTGGTTGAGGTCTATGAGTTCCATTAGCTGTTTCTGCAGGATCCTCTCTCGACCTACAATCTGTCTGATGAACACATGTTGGAGCAGGTCTAGAACGTTAGGCCTCAGCTCAAAGTCCTTGATCAGACATCTGTGGGTGAGACAGTTAGACAGGGAGAATGTTACTGATGCTCTGGGCCATGCAATCAGCAAGTGAACATTATAATATTCAGATTCATGCTTCTATTTTAGGGGGTGAATGGTTTATGAAGAGCAAATCTGAAGAGGATAATAAACCAATTATGTTCGCCTGTAAATGAGAGGGAAGGTTTACACGTTTGTACACTGTAATTAGCAACAACACACACACGCACACACATACACACACACACAGACACACACACACACACACACACACACACACGCACACACACACACACACACACACACACACAAACAGACACACACACACCCAGCTCCCCTTATACTCACTTGCAGATGAAGTCGTTAAAGTGGTCCGACCACAGCTCAGGCTGGTACAGGGTAGGTGGAGGGTTTCTGTACGGGGAAATAATCAAAAGATAAGATAAAATGTGAATTACACAGACTGGGAGGAGAACAGAGGCTAAGGCTGGGAGTAGGATAATGGAATGAAATCTTAACACTGTGCTTTATTTCAGATACCAAGAGACATCTCAATGTTAAGCTACACACTCACATACAGTGGGGAGAACAAGTATTTGATACACTGCCGATTTTGCAGGTTTTCCTACTTACAAAGCATGTAGAGATCTGTAATTTTTATCATAGGTACACTTCAACTGTGAGAGACGGAATCTAAAACAAAAATCCAGAAAATCACATTATATGATTTTTAAGTAATTAATTTGCATTTTATTGCATGACATAAGTATTTGATACATCAGAAAAGCAGAACTTAATATTTGGTACAGAAACCTTTGTTTGCAATTACAGAGATCATAAGTTTCCTGTAGGTCTTGACCAGGTTTGCACACACTGCAGCAGGGATTTTGGCCCACTCCTCCATACAGACCTTCTCCAGATCCTTCAGGTTTCGGGGCTGTCACTGGGCAATACAGACATTCAGCTCCCTCCAAAGATTTTCTATTGGGTTCAGGTCTGGAGACTGGCTAGGCCACTCCAGGACCTTGAGATGCTTCTTACAGAGCCACTCTTTAGTTGCCCTGGCTGTGTGTTTCGGGTCGTTGTCATGCTGGAAGACCCAGCCACGACCCATCTTCAATGCTCTTACTGAGGGAAGGAGGTTGTTGGCCAAGATCTCGCGATACATGGCCCCATCCATCCTCCCCTCAATACGGTGCAGTCGTCCTGTCCCCTTTGCAAAAAAGCATCCCCAAAGGATGATGTTTCCACCTCCATGCTTCACGGTTGGGATGGTGTTCTTGGGGTTGTACTCATCCTTCTTCTTCCTCCAAACACGGCGAGTGGAGTTTAGACCAAAGAAATCTCTATTTTCGTCTCATCAGACCACATGACCTTCTCCCATTCCTCCTCTGGATCATCCAGATGGTCATTGGCAAACTTCAGACGGGCCTGGACATGCGCTGGCTTGAGCAGGGGGACCTTGCGTGCGCTGCAGGATTTTAATCCATGACGGCGTAGTGTGTTACTAATGGTTTTCTTTGAGACTGTGGTCCCAGCTCTCTTCAGGTCATTGACCAGGTCCTGCCGTGTAGTTCTGGGCTGATCCCTCACCTTCCTCATGATCATTGATGCCCCACAAGGTGAGATCTTGCATGGAGCCCCAGACTGAGGGTGATTGACCGTCATCTTGAATTTCTTCCATTTTCTAATAATTGCGCCAACAGTTGTTGCCTTCTCACCAAGCTGCTTGCCTATTGTCCTGTAGCCCATCCCAGCCTTGTGCAGGTCTACAATTGTATCCCTGATGTCCTTACACAGCTCTCTGGTCTTGAGGTTGGAGTCTGTTTGATTGAGTGTGTGGACAGGTGTCTTTTATACAGGTAACGAGTTCAAACAGGTGCAGTTAATACAGGTAATGAGTGGAGAACAGGAGGGCTTCTTAAAGAAAAACTAACAGGTCTGTGAGAGCCGGAATTCTTACTGGTTGGTAGGTGATCAAATACTTATGTCATGCAATAAAATGCAAATTAATTACTTAAAAATCATACAATGTGATTTACTGGATTTTAGATTCCGTCTCTCACAGTTGAAGTGTACCTATGATAAAAATTACAGACCTCTACATGCTTTGTAAGTAGGAAAACCTGCAAAATCGGCAGTGTATCAAATACTTGTTCTCCCCACTGTAGGTAAACTTTAAGTCCGCTTACACTACCTTTCAAAAGTTTGGGGTCACTTAGAAATGTGCTTGTTTTCGAAAGAAAAGCAATTTTTTTGTCCATTAAAATAACATCAAATTGATCAGAAATACAGTGTAGACATTGTTAATGTTGTAAATGGCTATTGTAACTGGAAACGGCTGATTTTTATGGAATATCTACATAGGCGTGCAGAGGCCCATTATCAGCAACCATCAGTCCTGTGTTCCAATGGCATGTTGTGTTTGCTAATCCAAGTTTATCATTTTAAAAGGCTAATTGATCATTAGAAAACCCTTTTGCAATTATGTTAGCACAGCTGAAAACTGTTGTGCTGATGAAAGAAGCAATAAAACTGGCCTTCTTGAGACTAGTTGAGTATCTGGAGCATCAGCAATTGTGGGTTCGATTACAGGCTCAAAATGGGCAGAAACAAATAACTTTCTTCTGAAACTCGTCAGTCTATTCTTGTTCTGAGAAATTAATGATATTCCATGCGAGAAATTGCCAAGAAACTGAAGATCTCGTACAACGCTGTGTACTACTCCCTTCACAGAACAGCGCAAACTGGCTCTAACCAGAGTAGAAAGAGGAGTGGGAGGCCCCGGTGCACAACAAGAGGGCAAATACATTAGAGTGTCTAGTTTGAGAAACAGACACGTCACAGGTCCTCAACTGGAAGCTTCATTAAATAGTACCCGCAAAACACCAGTCTCAACGTCAATAGTGAAGAGGCGAAACCGGGATGCTGACCTTCTAGGCAGAGTTGCAAAGAAAAAGCCATATCTCAGACTGCCCATCTTAATCTTTTCTTTTTATTTGCCAGTCTGATATATGGCTTTTTCTTTGATGGTTGCTGATAATGGGCCTCTGTACTCCTATGTAGATATTCCATTAATATCAGTTTCCAGCTACAATAGCCATTTACAACATTAACAATGTCTACACTGTATTTCTGATCAAATTTATGCTCTTTTAATGGACAAAAAATTGGCTTTTCTTTCAAAAAACAATAACACTTCTAAGTGACCCCAAACTTTTGAACGGTAGTGTAGATCTCAGTATTTTGGTGAAAAACACCAACACATTATTTCTAACCTAAACAACACTAAGTTGTACTTGCAGAATGCTGGCATAAACTTGTCATGAGACCATCAAAATTATGACAGGTGTTATGCCAATCTGACATAACACAGTTATAAGACAGTTAGATGACAACATTATATCCATTATGCAGACTTGCTACTCCAATCTCAAAGTAGCCATCATGAATACAAAAAAGTGGTCCTTTAACAAGCAAATCCAGCCAAACACTGTAGTTAGCCCCCCAACCCTGACAAGACAAGACCTCGCCCACTGAGGAACAATAGCGCTAATTTGCTATAATTCCCTGTCCTGTTTAAAGTGGCTCTTTACGAGAGGGTGCTTGGCACAGGTTGTAAGAGTTGATATTGACTCGCTAACGCAGCGGGGCCTTTTCACGTCCACAATGACAGCGATTCATTGCTGTAATGGGAGGTCATACATCTCCTGGTTATCACACTTAGTTCACACCCCATTTAGACAGAGTGTGTGTCAGACATTTAAATGGACTCTGTTCCGCCGACGCTCCCACTATTAAAATGAATTCTTATCTGGAAGACTAACAGGTCTGGAGAAGCTGTGGGGAGGGGAGAGTCAAACATCTGCTATCTAGACCTGGATACTGGAGTTGAATGTGGAATCAAGGAGCTGAGAGGAAACAAGGACACATAGGGATATACTGGTGAGGGACTAAATGGCTTTGACTATTGTAAAAGGACGCAGCCATCAATAATACTGAGTCAAGATAATAGCAGGGGTCAAACAAGCTCATCATAGCTAATACAATTCTCATGCAACTAATTAATCTGTGTTTCTAGTACAACCTACTCTATGTGTTTAAAATGAGTTATTCCGGAAACATTTTGACCATTCCTATACACTCCTGTATCTTTCTACTCCTCCTCCACAGGCTGTGGGTTGTAAAAGGGTTCTTTGCGGAGGTATGGGGTTTTACCAAGAACTGTTTTGATCTGAAGAACCCTTTCTGGAAGACAAGGGTTCTTTGTAAGGCAAAGGGTTCTACCTAGAACCTTTAACATCCTAAGAACCGCTTTTGGAAGAAAGGGTTCTTTGATGATTCTTTAGTAGGCAAGAAGGACTCTTTGGAAGGCAAGAATGGTTCTACATAGAACCATATATCATATTTCCCAGCATGCTCTATTGCAGGGTGATTTTTAGAATTGTTTGTTTTAATATCTGTGTTTTTGCATGTACATTGATTTATTGATACATTTTATGCTACACCAAGAAAAATAGCATACATTTTTCTAAACTAATCCAATCCGTTAGTAGTTGGACTTATTGCACCCGTTACTGAGATGGTTGTTCCAGATGGTTGTTCCAGTTAAGATGATTGATTGAGGTATTCTCAGTATTCAAGCTTCCCTAAAAAATTCAACTTGTTGGATATCCTAACTCTGGTTGGATTCCAATAGTAATTAAACATCACTTTGCAAGCCAGCATAATGTGACTTGCAGGCCTGATGTGGCCTGTAAACCAGGAGTTTCCTAACACCACTGTGTTAGGGTATAACTAGGCCCATAGGGGAACCCTTTTTGATGCTAGGTAAAACCCTTCAAAGGGTTCCCCTATGGGGACAAACCGAATAACCCTACATGGTTCTACTTAGCACCTTTTTTTCTAAGAGTGTAACTTTGACCCTTCCTTCACCTAAATGTATGTATTTTGGACATACTGTATGCCGGGACATATTTTGCATGTGTATCTTTGCCTTCCTGTGTAGTGTGTATTTTTGACTTGACCTGGGGCCTGTTCCCTTCCCTTATCTGGCTGGGTGAGTGCTAGGCAGTGCCAGGCCAGGGAACGTGTTGGCTGAACTGCTCTCTCCAGGATCAAACCGGGATAATCCTGAACACAGGTTCCCTAACCATAATCCAGCGGAGGAACAGCTTCCGGACATCTTGGGTGATGTCATCATGGCCATGAAATGGGGACAGCACTTCAAGCCAAAACACAACGTGTGCCTTCGCTGGTCAGTAGTGTGTGAGTAAGAGAATGAAATGAATCACTGTTGAACTCAAGACCCATTTGAATGCATTAGTGAAAATGCATTTACAAACCTCCTCAATGAAATGTGTTTGATTGCTTGTATACTGGCATGTCTGCTGGCATGACAGGACAGTGTTGGATGTAGAGTGTTGGCAAAACAAAGATGGATTTCCAAATACTTAATGGATAAGGGAATTATGTCAAATAAAAATATAAAAGTTTTGGCCACACAAAAGTGGCCAAACATTATTATTATTTTTTGAAAGAGAGAAAACCATCATCCCACTGAATCTATTGCATTTTGTCAATTTAACATGGTTTCTCAATGGAGATCCAACTGAATAAATCCTTGCCAGCATGGTGAAAGAGGAGTGTGAGGGAAGTGTGTAGAGAGAGCCTGCAGCTCTTGTAACAGCAGTCACAAAGATTCAGAGAAAGCTGTGTGATGATGACTGCTCTGGAGCAAAAAACCCCAAGCAAAGAGTACATCAACAACAGAGGGGATAGCTGAGAGAACGGTATTTATGTGTGTGTGTTTAGACAGAGAGGGACAGAATGAGAAAGAGAGAGAGACAAAGAGAGAGAGACAAAGACACAGAGAGAGAGAGAGAGAGAGAGAGAGAGAGAGAGAGAGAGAGAGAGAGAGAGAGAGAGAGAGAGAGGGAGAGAGAGAGGTGAAAGAAAGAAGGGGAAATAAGCTACTCTTTAGTCTTTTGGTGTGTTTACAATTGTTCCAGACTAGTGAGGTGTGTGTGTATGCCTGTGTGTGTAGTTGCACACAGTGGTGGGGTGGAGATGGACAAAGTGTTGTGGCGTCAAGATGACAGCGGTGATGAGCGCTTATGCAGCCGCCTCAGAACCTGAAGACCAACGACAGTAATCAGTAACCATTCACCTCCAACACACAGTGTGGGCAGAGGAGAAAAATATTATATCGATCCTATTTATCCACAGAAAGAGGAGGATCACAGAAAATAGCAGAGAGAGGTGGTACGTCTAAGCTGCTCTAATCCAAAATAAAGCTATCTTTTCATTTTGCCTTGTGACAGATCCTAGCCCCACAGACAGTTGCACGGAAGGGCAATTCATCTCGCTGGCTACAGAACTGTAGAGTGCAAATGGTTTTGTAAATTGCAATACAAACGACCTGCACTGCCCTGCTTTGACGTTCTTTTCTACCAAGTGAAAAGCGCAGTAATGGAAATATGATTAACTCCTGAGTGGCGCAGTGGTCTAAGGCACTGCATCGCAGCGCTAACTGTGCCACTAGAGATCCTGGTTCGAATCCAGGCTCTGTCGCAGCCGGCCGCGACCGGGAGACTCATGGGCGGCGCACAATTGGCCCAGCGTCGTCCAGGGTAGGGGAGGGAATGGCCGGCAGGGATGTAGCTCAGTTGATAGAGCATGGCGTTTGCAACGCCAGGGTTGTGGGTTTGATTCCCACGGGGGGCCAGTATAAAAAAAACAAATATGTATTCCCTAACTGTAAGTCGCTCTGGATAAGAGCGTCTGCTAAATGACTAAAATGTAAAATGATTGCCGCATAAGATATAGGTTAGGCGTACATAAAACCTAGTTGTGATGATTGTGTTGTTATGTTGTGTATAAAGGGCCCTCACAGTGTTCTACAGGAGCACCATCGAGAGCATACTGTCAGGCTGTATCACAGCCTGGTACGGCAACTCCACCGCCGCGGACCGCAAGGCACTACAGAGGGTGGTACGCTCAGCCGAATGCACCATTGGGTGCACACTGCCTGCCCTCCAGGACACCTACAACACCAGGTGTTGCAGGAAGGCCATGAAAGATCATCAGGGACCTCAGCCTCCTGAGCCACGGCCTGTTCTCCCCGTTTTCATCACTCAAATGCGGGCAGTACACAAGCATTATGGCTAAAACTAAGACTGGCCAATAGCTTCTACCCCCAGACCATCAGGCTGCTGAATAGCTACTACTAGTCCGCTACCTGCTCCCCCTGTCACCCCCAGACTTTCTACCCCCCTCAACAGACATCTACCCTGCCCCCACCCCAAAGGACATTTATCATGCTGAATAGACACTCTCCTGAGTGGCGCAGTGGTCTAAGGCACTGCATCGCAGTGCTAACTGTGCCACTAGAGATCCTGGTTTGAATCCAGGCTCTGTCGCAGCGACCGGGAGACTCATGGGCGGTGCACAATTGGCCCAGCGTCGTCCAGGGTAGGGGAGGGAATAGCCGGCAGGGATGTAACTCAGTTGATAGAGCATGGCGTTTGCAACGCCAGGGTTGTGGGTTCGATTCCCACGGGGGGCCAGTATAAAAAAATCGCTCTGGATAAGAGCGTCTGCTAAATGACTAAAAATGTAAAAAATGTAAAATGTGGACACCACAGCTGCCATCTGTGTAGCAGTTATATTGCTAGGCTGATGTTAGTTGTTGCAATAACGTCTCGTTGTCTGATATCTAACAACAGATGATAGCTAACGCCTAGCCTTTAGCGCAGTGAGAACACTTCCTTCTCTATTGGATATCTTGCACTGATGACCCCACTTCGATCCCCAGATGGTTAAATGTGCAGAAATAGGAGCCCGACCTGGGGATTTTGAAGAGAGCTCTCATTGGATGGAGGTCGGAGAGGGGCGGGTCTCCATCTCCCAGCTCTATGGCAGTAATGCCCAGGGACCAGACGTCACAGCGAGCGTCATACGTGGAGTCCAACTGCTGCTCACAAGCTATCACCTGTAGACAGAGACACACACATTAAGATTAGCAGCAGGAAAATACAGTCTGTGTTTCTAGTAGTTTCTAAGGAGAATATTATTGAGAGTGTTTTGGGAGATACGGGCACACCTTTATCAACAACTGCTGCAGGCTTCTACAGGGAATATGGTACAGGTAGGACACGCACACACACACACACACACACACACACACACACACACACACACACACACACACACACACACACTCACACAAACACAAACAGACCATCATCAAGAGTGCATGCACCACACACACACACACACACACGCACACACACGCATACACACACACAAACAAACCGCCATCAACAATATCCTTAGGCCAACATGGCATCCCCTTTACAAAATAGATCTCCCCATAGGAGACACATATGGTACGTACACAGACAGAGCATCGATACACACAGTTAAATCCACACCCAGACACCTCAATCACCTGCAGGGAAACAACAGTAATCATTCCCAAGGTACATACTTTAGTAGTGTACTCAAAAAAATGCATAATATTGTCCAAACATATCAATTACAACATCATTAAGACACCTTTATCAACAAGGGTCCCAAATATAAATATTCTGAATGACAAAACGTCACATGAACATAATGAAGTACACATTAACGTGCAGAATGCACACCATAACACAGTACACACGCACAAACATAGACAAAGAGTTGTGTCATGAACATGTCACAACTCACATGAATAACAAGAAACCCCAAGCAATACGGGATCCTCATCTCAACAGTCATGAAGAATATTCAACATTTACAACAACAAGGTGAGCCAAGCTGATACATTAGAATCCATCTTGCCTTACCCTCAACTAAAATCCACTTAATTCGAGGTACTCTTATCTTTTTCCAACAAAGCACAGTAGGTACCATCTAACCCTTCATAAAATACTTCCAAAACTGGCAGAGAAACCTTACGATAGCCTATCCACTACTAAAGTCTGCCGCGCTCCTCTCTCGGTTTTCGTTCGGTGCTCTGTACATATCTTTTTTTAAAGTCCCTTTTTACTCAAATGGTCAACCTGAAAGGACATCCACCTCCGATTCTAATGTCATGTCATTAGCTATACTCTATGTAAACGGTATGTAAAATGCCATTTCTCTGCATGAGTTAATACCAAATAGATTTGCAAAGTGGATGTAAAAGTCATGTAAAAAATAAGAAGGCTGTTCTAACCAGGTCATCTTTAGCATCATGCTGCAGTGTGAGCTAGCCAAGCACTAATGTCTTGTGACAGACAAAAACATTGAGTAGCTGGTCAGAGGCCAATGCTCAGGCGAGATTTGGTTCTTATTCTACTTATCAAGGTCAACAAAAGTCTGTATTCTTTCTACAGGTCCAATGTTGGATGCTGTGTAAGAGTCTAGTGAGGTAAAGGGAATGAGGCCTACCTCTGGGGCCATCCAGAAAGGTGTTCCCACTGAGGTGTTCCTACGGAGACGAGTGTTCGTCAACTGGGCCGAAACACCTGCAGAAAGACACAAGGATAACATAACTCAATTAGATAGGAACCACAGTATGAACGGCTGTATACATTGGGACATCACAGTTCAGTTACATAGGACATCTATAGACACTGAGGAGCATTAAAACAATATAATGATTTTTTCATCTCATGTCCATCAGACAGAAACCAGAGCAGGTGGTTCCGATTATGAGCTGTCATAGGGTGAAATAGTGAAGTGCTATTCATATTCCAGCTGGGATGGATTAAGTAAATGATATTCCAAACCCACTCTGTAAACCATGATGGTGTGGTCACTGGTGACATTGAACAAAAACAGACATGTGCACAAACGCATGCACACACACACACACACACACACACACACACACACACACACACACACACACACACACACACACACACACACACACACACACACACACACACACACACACACACACACACACACACACACACACACACACACACACACATACTAGCAGTTACACACACACACACACACACACACACATATAGCCTCATATATAGCCTACACACACGCCAAGTTGTGATGGCTCTCAAGCAAATGATGGATTGCTTTGCATTACAAATACCCAAGGCGATTTATCAGGGCATTTGACTAGAGATCCATCATGAACAAACCTCAGAATGACTATATTTGCACTACACAATACTGACTGACCCATTCAAATCATGACATGATTTAATTGGAATTATTTGGTAAGTGTTCACATTATCTTCTGTTCGTTTTGAAAGGAGACTGTATACATTTCAAACAGCTATGTCTATGGTGGATATTTAACTAAGAATTATTATAAAGGTCAGGTTTAGTCATTCTGAATAGGACCCTGTGTCTGCTCTGCACTGTAGCCATAATGATTTGCAGAAGGCTGCTTTCTTTTCCTACCCCCACAGTTGTGAGGATAGGAAGATGTTACACACATGATGTGTGTGTAACACTCATGTGTTCATGTCAAAATGTCTGGACAATCAACGCCAGGCCGAGCCACAGTCGTGACTCCAGACTCCAGTCCAGACGAATCAGTGTGAAGCTGCAGTAGATGGTAGAGGAGCAGCTTGAACTGAATCCACTGATGAGCACTAGGTTATGAACAGAATGCAGCAAGACTACTATGGACTGAGAGAGAAGCTGTGCTTCAACAAATAGCTATGTGGTTACTATGTGCTTATATGTTTAAACAGACAACTGGAGAATTCCAAAGTATTTACAATATATGACGTGTTGCTAGCATAGATTAATATACAGTATACACTCCATCTGAGTAAACAAATCACAAATTTGTTAAACAATGTTAATGTTTGTTTTATCTATGCTGTATTTAATTATAGTAAATATTCATGAACTAGAGTATAAAATTGTGTTATTTGTAAAGAGTGTGTGGGGGATATCTCTCTGAGGACTTCCTTGTTGAATGGGTTAAACGGAATACTGGATGGAATGAATAGCAAGAAGAAGGAATGCAGTAAGCAGCAGATTCTCAACGGTGCTGTAGCAAACATCAAAAGGGATTAGGCTTATATGCAGGAGGGGATATATACAGGGCTGACACACTGTGCTGCTCGGTGCACTTCTCACAAACCTGCACCTGCGCATGCACACACATTCATGCATGCACACACACAAACGATGCATGCACAACTCATACATGTTACCAGCAGAAAAATGTGCACAGATATTCAGTACACAGACACATTTTAGTCATTTATCAGATGCTCTTATCCAGAGCGACTTGGATTAAGTGCATTGCTCAAGGGCACATTGACAGATTTTTCACCTAGTCAGCTCGGGGATTCAACCAGCAACCTTTTGGTTACTGGCCCAACGCTCTTACCTGTTCTGCTACCTGCTTACACACAAGTAAGCAGCAACACACACACACACACACACACACACACACACACACACACACACACACAATCAAACACACATACGTTCACACATATGAACCAGTATTTAACAATTTCATTATGTGTGATGAAATGGTTATGAGGCCCTCACATGTATGCACAAAGACGCTCCTATAAAAAGTCCCTGTGGCCATTCTGTTTCTACTACATTACCCAGAGGCAGGGCCTGGCAGGACACCCTTAATAATCATCAGAGAGATAACACTGTCAATTAGCATATTCATTAAGAAACTGAAAAGATGGCCTCCATCCATCTTTTTCTTCTCTTTTTCAGGGCTTATTTTTTCTCGGGGTGGTGATGAGTCACTGCAGGGGTTTTATCTTTTCAGCTGCTTAGTGTAGCGTAGGATCGTGCCGACCCCCCACATGAAAAACTATTATCCTCTGTGTGACGCAGGAGACATGTGTGGAGCAAGTATCCCTTCTTTCTTCCTCTCTCTCTCTCTCTCTCTCTCTCTCTCTCTCTCTCTCTCTCTCTCTCTCTCTCTCGCTCTGTACACCCTCTCTCCTAGCCACCTATGTCCGGCCCCCTATACCACCACTGTCTTCCTATTTTGTAGCTCTGGGCCGTCTGTCTCTCTGTAGCTCCACGTCTCAATTTCTATATTTCCCAGCTGACTACGGGGCCTTTCTCTTATCAAAATCAGTTACCAGGATTCAGGAGAGAAACGAAATACAGTTTTTCCTGCACAGCATGAAAGCCTATTTGAATAAATTTGCAGTTGAGTGTCTTTTAGTTTTCACCGTGGGTGAGATAACATGGGTCGCTAACCCCAACAAGAGTAGACTACATTAATTCAATGGAGGAGGATTGGGTGATTCTCACCATAATGACAGCACATTTGAAGCTAAATGGAGAAACATAACAAACTCTTCTCTGTTCCTATGATAATCCTCTTTTTTTTTATCATAGCAAAACATATTTAGGCGGCAAGTAGCCTAGTGGTTAAGAGCGTTTGGTCAGCAATCAAAATGTCACTGTTCGAATCCCCGAGCTGACTTGGTGAAAAATCTGTCGATGTGCCCTTGAGCAAGTTGCTCTGGATAAGAGCGTCTGCTAAAAATGTTTATTTCTGATGGGGTGCTTATCAAAATAAAAGGATGCTTGATCAAATGAATCTGACCATGGGATACTCAGACAGCCTCAAACACTCCTAGTTGTTTCTGGGTCACCTCCTAACTCTGTATTCATATTGTAGAGTGTAGCACTAGTATTTGTATGGTGGACTTACAGAGTCCCAACCTAAATCAGATCATACAGAAGAGTCATTTGAAAGGGAGGGGTACAGTGTGTTTCCTGGAGTGCAGGTTTGATTGAATTCTGCCCTCATTTGAATTCAGACACAGTATTCACTCGGAATGTGGTGAGTGACATATTAAACAACAGAGTGGAAGGAGCACATTGTGTGTCTAAATGACAGCTTCTCTTTAACAATGCCATAGCCTTTCTATAGTCTACCATGACTTTACTATCCTGACCAGACAATGCTTTTCTTCTGACTCTGATTTTGATGGAGCCAGGGGAACTTTGAAGCATGAGTCATCACTATCTCCCGCTCTCTTTCTCTCTGTGGGGTCATGAGTCATCACTATCTCCCTCTCTCTTTCTCTCTGTGGGGTCATGAGTCATCACTACCTCCCTCTCTCTTTCTCTCTGTGGGGTCATGAGTCATCACTATCGCCCTATCTCTTTCTCTCTGTGGGGTCATGAGTCATCACTATCGCGCTCTCTCTTTCTCTCTGTGGGGTCATGAGTCATCACTACCTCCCTCTCTCTTTCTCTCTGTGGGGTCATGAGTCATCACTACCTCTCTCTCTCTTTCTCTCTGTGGGGTCATGAGTCATCACTATCGCCCTATCTCTTTTTCTCTGTGGGGTCATGAGTCATCACTATCTCCCTCTCTCTTTCCCTCTGTGGGGTCATGAGTCATCACTATCGCCCTATCTCTTTCTCTCTGCGGGGTCATGAATCATCACTATCTCCCTTTCTCTTTCTCTCTGTGGGGTCATGAGTCATCACTATCGCCCTATCTCTTTCTCTCTGTGGGGTCATGAGTCATCACTATCGCGCTCTCTCTTTCTCTCTGTGGGGTCATGAGTTATCACTACCTCCCTCTCTCTTTCTCTCTGTGGGGTCATGAGTCATCACTACCTCTCTCTCTCTTTCTCTCTGTGGGGTCATGAGTCATCACTATCGCCCTATCTCTTTTTCTCTGTGGGGTCATGAGTCATCACTATCTCCCTCTCTCTTTCCCTCTGTGGGGTCATGAGTCATCACTATCGCCCTATCTCTTTCTCTCTGCGGGGTCATGAGTCATCACTATCTCCCTTTCTCTTTCTCTCTGTGGGGTCATGAGTCATCACTACCTACCTCTCTCTTTCTCTCTGTGGGGTCATGAGTCATCACTACCTCCCTCTCTCTTTCTCTCTGTGGGGTCATGAGTCATCACTACCTCCCTCTCTCTTTCTCTCTGTGGGGTCATGAGTCATCACTATCTCCCTCTCTCTTTCCCTCTGTGGGGTCATGAGTCATCACTACCTCCCTCTCTCTTTCTATCTGTGGGGTCATGAGTCATCACTATCTCCCTATCTCTTTCCCTCTGTGGGGTCTGCTCCTCCTATCTGCTCATTCCATATGTCCGGGTTCACACTCCTCCTCCTCCCCCTCTTCCTACCCTTGTGAATGCCAAGCTTCCCCGTTATCTATCCGCTACCCAAGATTCCCCCAAAGTAATTAGCGTCTTTACATTGCCTCTGCACTGGGGCTGATACGGACTGAAGCCGGGGTGGCGGCCATCTTACTGAGGGCTTGGTCGAGCACGGCGAGTCATGAGAGTGTCACTTGAGAGTAGCTTATAGCTAAAGTGGAGCCTAGCCAGAACTAAATACCTTGTTAATGGAAGTGTTAAACAGAGGAGCCGCAAAGAGCGCAAATGGGCGAAGTGTGCTATTTGTGACATTTCTATGGAGCCAACAAATATTCACAAGACCTATTACTCATTGGTTTAAGTGAAGGAAGAGAGCGAGGCAGCGACATGCGCAGGTTGATGCTTTTAAGAGAAGCCTCGCTTAACCGGCTGAATAAAGAGGAGATTCAGCTGTAATGGAAAGAGGCATGCTGCTTTTCAGGCCCCTAAAGGAGCTTTGCTGAGTCACTGCTGGAAATGGCCTGAATCATTTCACGTTATTCAGACTCTGGCTAGTGCACAGGGAGCTTAATTTGGTTAAGAAAAACACGAAACAAATCAGTGCTGCATTGCTAACACAGAGAGAATAACAACAGTGTCCTCTGCAGTGAGGCCAAATGCAGGAGATGCTGCGTCTAATGGAAATGTATTTGGTGCTACCCACCTACCACCTCCCCACCACCGGGTAAATGTATTCCACCCTGGATAAGAAAATAAATGTCAGCCAATTAAGGTGGCAAACAATTTGGGGTAATGGATTTGATCCATCGGCAGTATCACAGACACACAGGCACACATAGACCAGTGACAAATTAACACAATACACTGAGCCATACAGACACAGACACACACAAATGCACGCGCACACACACACACAAACACACAGATCACAGAGCATACCAAAGTCCACCAGCTTCACCCCTCCTTGTGTGGTCAGTAGGATGTTGTTGCCTTTGACATCCCGGTGGATGGTCTTGTTGATGTGCAGATGATGGAGACCCTGTAACAGTAGAGATAGTAGTAATATAGTAAGTCATTGGAAAGAGGGCCATTCAATTCATAATTGGGAAAAGTCATTTCAGTCCTTCTCTCTCGCTCTCTGTCACAAGTCCATCCACCATTCAAAGAGCACTCTTACCGTGAGGGCCTCGTGTATGATGTAGGCAATGATCGCCTCATCCATTCTGTCTCCTCTCTTCAGCATGCCTTTGGCCAGGTCTGTCACCGAACCTCCATTGCAGAGCTACAGGCACATAAGAAAGACAGAAGACAATGACTTTCCTTTGCTAAACCGTAGCGTGAGTCAGCATATTCTGGCCAAAGCTGAGACAATGAGCATAAATCTAGATATGCCACATCTAGATGTGCATACTGTATCTTCGCATTGTGTAACACCCTTCTGATAAAAGTGGATAAAGAAATGACAGTGTCAATGAAGATTTCAGAGGGAATCTTCAAAGCTCTGAAGACCATGGTAGTGATAGTTGATTCTTTTGTTCAATCTCTCGACGCTTATCTTTTCGAAACAGCTTAGGGGGAGGTAGGAATCGTGCCTATAGAAAAAATGCAGATTCTCCTAAGAGGGGTATAATCGGCTTTGTGATGACTAAACTGTAATTATTAAAGATGTGCGAATCGAGGTCCTCGAATCGAGCACCTCCGCCTACTTTGGAGACTATTTCTGTCAAGAAGATTAAAATCCTTGCGTATGCATATGCCTTGACGAAAACCCATGGAAAGTGTTTGAAAGTATACATTTGGCAGACAGCTTTACTGAGCAGCATTTCAAGGGAAAACAAACTTGAGTCATTTGATTTGTTTTGATTACCAAATAATCAGAACCCATTTTACACTACAAATTTTTTTTATTAAACCTAAGCTTGATTACACAACAAATCTCTCTTGTATGAATAACTGTAACTTTCTGCATATTACATAAGGTTGCTATGTTACAGTGTGTGTAGTATAATCTATCTCCATAAAGTGAGATGTGGCTCTATTATCAATGTCAATGCCTGCCTGAAAATCACAGAAAATTGCCCTATGTGTTGCCAAGGCAACAATAATACCCCATTATTTTGGGCCGTTGTCAACTGACCTCCAGATAAAGAGAAAACGCCCTTGAGTGTCTACTGAGATGTGGAGGAAACAGAGTGCCACATAACATGACAATCTAAGTAGCTGTGTCTAAGTACTTTCTAGAATGATACAAAGACATCTCATCTGCATCTGCGGGAAGCTTGAATCAAGCAATAAATATTTTGTCTATGCACTCTCATGAATGGCACTTGTTTTGCCTGCATTTTCATGAGGAATTGCATGCATAAAAGCATTTTGCATTCTGAAAGGGACATTTCTATTTGTCTAATTATGCGTAGAACACTTATACTCCTATAATCAGAGACATCTCTGTCTCACTTGTGAATTGAAAGGATAATGAGGGAAGAACACTCAGTGGTTACGGAGAATTAGAAGCACCCTCCTGTGGAGGACAACCTAAAAATGTTTCACAATCATTCTCAGAGTGAGTCACAAAACACAAAATGTAATCGTCAATGTAATCATGTCATAAGAGGGATTTCATCTACTATGATGGAATTGTAACAAGTTATAGAGCGTTCATACAGTTTTAGTGATATTTGTTTCCATGATCATTCACACGTCACGGATATGCAAGCAAAACATTTTTTTCAATACTCAATTTCCAAAATATATGAGGATGGCAAATGGATCGGGGAAAATTGCAGTAACACAACCATGTTTTTATAGATAGCTTCTCTGTTTGTGACTTTGTAATGAGTTCCCAAAAAGACGGAGCCATTTTGTGATCTCATTACTATTCTGCCCACATGGCCCAAAGCCATTGTGCAGTGTGTTTCTGCCCTCATGTTTCTCTGCCAGTTACATGCATTAATTGAGCTAACCACAGGGAGTTGTAAATTGCCTGTTCCACTTAGCCTACAATTTAGAGTACACAGTGTGCACTTTTTAAATGGGAGAAAGGAAATGGTTGGAATATACAGTCATGACCGTAGTTATTGGCACCCTTAATAAAGATGAGCAACAAAAAAAACTGTATAAAATAAATAATACAAATACTGACCTATATTGTATGCTCTAAAATTACATTAGAAAATTATATTACTTTCTAAAAAATAAAATTATTCAGAGAAAAATATTTGCTTAACAAAAAATTATTGGTTTTCAACCACTGGTATGCATGGCCAAAGAGCCCCAAAACATTTGTCATCAAAAGAAGGATGCATAATATAGAAAAGAACCCCATACCTACTGTAAAATATGGTGGTGGATCTTTGATGATACAGGGCTATTTTGCTTCCACTGGTCATGGGGCCCTTGTTAAGGTCAATGACATCATGAACTGTAGCTGGACATTTTAGCCAAAAACCTGTAGATGGAAATACTGTTGCTTTGATGTGCTTAAATTCTCCTATTTTCTTATGTTTCCTTCAACACTTAGATATGGACGTCATGACGTGTGATGACGGCAGACAAGATATGTGGCAGCCAGGTTGTGTAGTGTTAGGGAAGTCAGATGGATGTCAAGCGTCCCCTGTAGCTCAGTTGGTAGAGCATGGCACTTGCAACGCCAGGGTTCTGGGTTCGTTTCCTACGGGGGGCAGTATGAAAATGTATGCACTCACTAACTGTAAGTCGCTCTGGATAAGAGCGTCTGCTAAATGACTAAAATGTAAAAGATGTGAGAGCTTCACACAGACCCCTAGAGGGCTGAACATGGGCCAACTGCTTTGCCCTTGCAAGGACTAAACCGTGGTATGTTGTCTCTGTCTGTCTGTCCTGATGATATGGAAAAACATTGTTAAATAGACACTCAGTCAAAACCCCAGTATTCCAGAAACTGTAACAGTAAGACTTCACTTCACTTCCTGCAAGCCTCGGCTATTTCCTATCAGCCTTTGCAGACAGACTGCAGTCAAGCAGAGAGTATCAGAAGCCTCTGCCGACAGGAGTGTCTCAGAGAGTCGGCTGAGCCTGACGTCAGAGTCCACATCACTGCCGAGATCACCTGTCATCATTAAATTACACAGGGCAAGGCAGACCGATCCATTTTAATGAGCTAGCTAGGCTCCAGTGCCATAGCATTAGCCAAGCGAAACGTTAGCGCTCTCTCTCCCAGCCGCACTGTTTGGTCTTCTAGAGTCCCGCATTTAACGCTAACATTAATTATTTTGGACATGTTGAAAGAGGCAGTCGCACCCGCTGGCTGACTGAAGACGATGTGTTAAATTTAACACTTTGTTACATTGTGTTTTATTTGGGATTACCTAGATTTAGCATATTAGCTTATTACGTTCTTGCATTTGAGTCACTTCAAGTCATGTTGCCAACTACTGTTACAGGTACACATCCAGGAATAGTTCATTCCATCAATACTCACATTTGGCCCTAAACCAGAACCCATCAAATCAGATAGAACTAGCTCTGTCAGACCTTCTGTCAACATGGGTCAAATATCCCCAGAATTCAGACAAGCCTACATGAAGAACATACACTTTAATGTCAGATATTGGCTTCATTTTGAAACCTCACGGTTATCGCCCCTGAGAGACTGTGGGCACATTATTACAGTCAGCTTTGGACAAGACATCAACATAACTCCTCACATGTTGGATGGAAATGACTTGAGACTTAGGGGCTAATACTGATAGCTGCCATCACCGGCTCCATCCCTCTACCTTCTAAGAGACTAGCTGTTGGCTTTAAAAGTCTTAGCCTGCTATTTATACCCACAATAAAAATGGAGGGATGGTATGAAATACACTAACTAGTCACCACAAACACAAAGTCATAAACCCCACCTATTTCTACAATTTATCTTCTTAAAATCGGATTCTAAACCTAACCTTAACCCTAACCTTAACCACACTGCTAACCTTATGCCTAACTCTAACCTTAAAAGCCATTTTGACTTTGTGGCTGTGGTAACTAGTGGAAACCCATTGACGATAGCTAACTAGTGGTAGGGATGTGAGGCTTTCTGAGCTCCATACTGGGTCATCATCATTGGTATACTGGGTCCTGTCAATCATTAGCTAAGAGCTGTCACTGGGTACTGTGAGTCATCACATGATGATCCCGCCTATAGGATATGTGGACCTTAACCAATTACCATAATGCAACAAGACAGCTTCAAAAGAAATGCATATTGTGAATCACCATAGTTCTTCTTTGTCAGCTCAAAGGTTTGGCCAGTAAGCCCGAAACAGAACAGGATATGATCCAATACAGATCAGGTGCTGCTTTTGTCATGTAAATTAATTTAATGTATCAAAGACCATAAAAAAAAAAGAAGAAAAAAAAAAGATGATGATGAGACAAATATGTATGCCCCCCCATACCCACCCCTTTTGATTGGGCATTCCATTTTAAGCTTGGAGATGTTTCCTCTAGGTGCAGCTAGTTATATTGATCAGTATAATGGTGTAGATCTCTGTTTACTGCAGCACAAAGAGATGTGAGCAGCAAAACACGTCTCCATAAAATGACACAAAGATTTCTTGTAAGAACAGCTACGCAAGTTTTTTTTCCAACATGTACATATCTCATGTTTTCGTTTGTTAGCTTTAAACGTGTGACAAAAAGGAAGCTTTATCATTGTGTGTGTATGTGTGTGTGTGAGTGAGTGAGTGCATGGTGTGCGTGTTTGGTCCTCTCCTGGGATAAACGTTCTCTGGCCAAGGTCTCTGATTTCTGACTGTGTTTAATGAAAAGCCCTAACAAACAAAGCCATTATAAACCTCATTGTTCATTAATGACGGCCAGGGTTGGAGACAACTTGGAGTCGGGGAGAACAAGGACAGTGTTTTTAAGGGAGTAAAATGGAGGCTTGAAGACAACAGAGCTGGAAGACAAATAGTGTGTTTAAAAAATAAAATAAAACATGATTAGATGCATGCTATTAACACCTTATATGAAATGATTTCACAACTTAAAGCGTAGAACAGAGCACTGGATTGCTGTTAAAATGAAGGTATTGGGTACACAAGGGCAGAGTGGTCCAGGGTTTGAAGCAGCAGCACACCATGATTGATATATGTGAGTAAAAAAGCAGAGTACCGGGCTATTTAAACGTCAGACTACGGATCCATCTTCTCAGCTCATTTCACCGACGGAATAATTATCTAGCCCTATCATAGGGATCGCTGTCTCAATATTTATGCCTCCTGGTGTATAATGAACGCAGTCTCCCCCCTGTTAGTTTATCTGCATTAAACATGCCATCGCTGCAATGATCCTTCATCATTATGGTGGGATGGTGGTCATAGAATGAATGGTTGCAGTGTGCTGCAATACTTATCATGCCAACGTGCTTAACGGTAATAGTTTCGTTATTTTGGCTCATTTTCATTGGTTTGAAAATAAATCTATACAATATGTAGCCAGACCTATTCATTTACAGATCCCATTCCGATTCATGACGTAACAATGTCAACAAAGCTGACGGCAACTGGCGTAACACTGTGATGATGACACTAGCTTACCTACATAAGGGTTTGCGTTACAGTTTAACTCTGGTGTTATCAGCTCAGAGGTTATCCTTTGAGCTTTGATACTGAATGACATGGCTACAAGTATTTTTACACCGGCTTACCTTTACTCATGTCATCCAAAAGCACACACTGTAAGTGTAAGACAGGGTGGCATTAGGCACCGTATCTCTGTGAGGAATAGGAACCTCGACATACTGTAGCAACTCAGTGAGGGGAAACAGTAGTAGTCAGGCATAGGTATAGCTAGCACGGCATAGGTATAGCTAGCCCTGCACACATGCAGCTAGTTTGCTGTCATTCCAGCTTCAGATTGAAGTGATTGTGTTAGCTGTGTAGTTGGCTAGCTCCTCTGAATAGTGTCCTGGCAAGAGAGCAAATGTTCTATGGCAGGCAAAATCGCACATCATTGTTATGGATGTATCTAAATTAATGTCACTAGAAAACAGCTTGAACAAACACAAATGTAGCTACTTTGCTGTTATTCTGGCAGCACTGTTTGATGTGACTGTGTTAGCCAAAGTTGGCTAGGTAGCAAGCAAGGGATAAGAATGTTGCTAGCCATCATGGCAATGGAACATTTATAACGAAGGTCCATAGATTGAGAACAAAAATACTTCACGACTGGGTCTCGTCACTTGCAACATAACCGATAGAATGAACGACCAGCCGGCTTGAGTAGCAACCCAAGATTTGTGTCAGGACTATATCTCATGGAAGGATTAAATAGTATGAATAAATTAATCTAAATAAAGTTTTTAATGAAAATATGTCAATCATTATTTGAATATGTTGGTAACACATTGTATAAAAGTGATAATGCCTTGACTTTGTCTCGGGCCTAACAACACCTGTGCCAAAATATCCTCCAAACACCGGCTTCTCAGGCAGTATCACTTAATTAACAATGTTTTATGTGCTGTTAGTGAGGAGAAGACTAATGTCCACTGATTAGAATAAAAATCATAAATACAACATGGGCACAGAATAGACTGCAATATCAATTTATGACTAATATGATGCTGGAAAAGCTATTAGTACCACAAAGATAATAATACAAAATGTAACATTAGGCTGACGTTATAGAGGTTGTTTGCTTAATGGATAATAAGGGACTGAAACACTGCTGTGTGTTTTCAAAGATAGGAGGCCATTGAAGTTGAATTAAAGTTTCTCCTAACTAAACTCCTAATTATGTTAGGTCATGGCTTTTTCATCATAAAGTACCAAGTAAATTTAAAAAGAAATGTGGAATATTATCTTGAGAATCAATAGCACAGTTCCTTGGGTTTACCATTCAACTATGAGAACCAAAAATATCAAGGTATATCATTTAGGTCGACAATATTCCCAATTAGAGAATCAAATTGGTTACTTTATTGGTATCTTTGAAGTTTTGATAGGGTTGAGGTCTCAGACCTTCAATGGACTCAGATTGGGAGCAAGAGATGAAAGCTCCCTCATCTCCCAACATCCGCTATCTATCATAAAGGAGTCCACTAGAGAGACTGAGTTATAAGCACCAGAGCAGAGCCCAATGAGGAAGCAACAAAGTGAAGGATGCAATTTGTGCAGATCGTCGTCATAATGAGCAGTGTGGCGTGAGGAGAGGGGATCCTCTGATCCACAATGAAACATGGAAAATTGCAGTTCAGAAGGAAGGACCGTAACCATGGTGATTGCATCCTCTATCACCCATCCTCACCCCTTTGTATCTTCCCCTTTCCCTTTGTATACACACACTCTCATACACACACTCGTACACACACAGATGCACGCACACACACACACACACATACACAGACACGCAGGCATGCACGCACACAAACACACACACATACACACTATGTCCAGTAACGCGACTGTCAGGCAGTGATTTCAGCCCTGTGGATTAGTCCGTCAGATTTGGGCTGCTGGCTTGAGGTTTTTGCGTGTGGAAAGAGTTTGCATACAGATATGCAAAACACAGTGGAGATAGAGCAAACAAAGTAGCAAAGCTGGCTGAACTCCCCCAAACACTGGCTTTGCTTTTCTAACTCGTGGTAATTGTGTTCCACTGAAATACCTCAGGGAGCCCTAGCGAGGACTTAAAACAAAGGCACAATTGGTACATATCAACACTGGCCTTGTGACAGAATAGGATTTATTCAAACTAAGACTGCGGTCCTTGATTGGTATGCTTTGAAAGTCTGAATGTTGTGGTAACATTGTATTCAGAGTATGCATTTGCTGATTATGCTAACAGAAAACCCCTGTCCTCCTGCTGGTAACATTATTGGATTGAAGTACGACTTTCATTCAGAGAGGAGCCTGACATCTAAAGTCAGACAGGTGATTAAACGACCCTTCCACCGAGAAGGAAACTGAGGAGAGCCAGACAGAAACATAAACTGGCAATGTGAAAACGATCTACTGGGCTAGCATTACACAGAGAGGGGATAGATGATAATGTTCAAGCCCTCTGAGCATGGATAACAGAAATGTGTGAGCTTTGTTCAAGCTTGGCTACTTTACCTTAGATTACAGACTTGTAAAAGAGGCTACGGGTAATGGAAACAGTCTAAAGCATCACACAGAAGACAGTGGCATGGAGGACAACATCAGTTAAGTTAAATAACCTTCCCTGAGGCACAGCAGAGAGGTTGCTTGTCCTGCATTCTGTGATAGGGGCTCACAAACAAATGCTGGGTACACACAAACACAAACGTGCACACACAATCACGTGCACATTCACATTCACACTCACAGAACTCAAACACGCACACACACACACTTACACTGGCAAACACTGTTTGGTAACATATCCTACACCTATGCCTACATACAAAGATATTATGCTATTACACACAAACAAACACACAACTGGAATCTGAACATCTAACACAGACAGCAGGTGTGACTTTTGGCGCTGTGAGCTTTCCCACCAGAGCCTCTTGGGCAAGCTGACCATTATTACCAGCCATTCATATTATATTTGAAACAATCTCTCTCGATCTTCACAGCTCCTGAGTGGCGCAGTGGTCTAAGGCTCTGTCGCAGCCGGCCACGACCGGGAGACTCATGGGCGGCGCACAATTGGCCCAGAGTCGTCCAGGGTAGGGGAGGGAATGGCCGGCAGGGATGTAGCTCAGTTGATAGAGCATGGCGTTTGCAACGCCAGGGTTGTGGGTTCGATTCCCATGGGGGGCCAGTATAAAAAAAATAATAACAAAAACATGTATTCACTAACTTTAAGTCGCTCTGGATAAGAGCGTCTGCTAAATGACAAAAATGTAAAAATGTTTTTCAGACAGCACAAAGCTCAGCTAGTGGTGCGTCAGACCTCGCTAACACTTTCCTCAGACGCAGGTTGACCTCCATTACACGTGTATTTGGGCTGTTCAAAGGGCTTCTGTGGGAAATTAAATATGAAGAATGCAGAGCTACGAGCCACACTGCCTCTCTCAATCATAACAACAACAAGGCCCCCTTGAATTTTTCTCTCAAATACCACCATTTTCAAATTGAGTCATGAAATTCACAGTCAGTACGTTCAGATGGATCAGGTTGTTTTTCATTGTATGAATAAAAAGCAGCCAGGCAAAAGTCTCCGACTTCACTGCAGTTATTCTTCCTCTTGAGCCAGCCAAATACTGTGCTTGACTTGACATGTTGAAATTAGGAAATCCTTTTTAATAGAGGCATTACACTGTACTTACAGTAGAACAATAAGTAACATTGACAAGTTTACTGGACTGCTGACATTGTGCCTTTGTATTCCCCTAAAAACTCACTACTAAACTGTAACAACAAATGCTTAAGTTTGAACAATATTTATGCATGTTGATCTTTTAATGTTCATGTTTATGTGCATTGTATAAAAGGGTCACCTGGGGATACTTGCTATAATCTTAACGCACATTGCTCAGCTAAATCTTTTACCTGAGGTTGAGTCTTAATCACACCATTATTGAACATGGGCTTCCAATGATGGGGCTTCTACAGAAGGTAACCCCAACTCAGTTCTTCCAGAGCAGTTATGCTTTCTGGTTTTCATCCATACCTTTCAATCAACAACTCTGGTCAATAAACTGTATTAATTGATCATTCAAACCATTGACTTGAGAAGAACAGCAAATACTGTGGCCCTTGACGGCCAGCATTCATGACACCTATACCCTTTTAACACTACTAAGCCGAGCTGAGCTAAACTGGTTACGAATCCACCATAAGTTGCTTGAACTGTGCTGGAAAGGACAATGTGAAAACAAAATACCTGAGCCAGACAATATGTTGGCGTTTGCAGGGTAGTATGAAAAGGGTATTAAACGTATATTTGCAGTTGTGACAACAGCCCCTGGACACCCAAAATAGACTGCGCTCAGCCAGACAAGAGCTAAATCAGGAGTCCACGCTGATTCGTGGAGACGGAGACGGACCAGGTAATATAAATCCCCCCTCTGCTTCTCTCAGCACGGCACAGGTTGAGCCAATGATACCAGAGCCCATATGGCCTTCTATGGGAAAGCTGTACGTCCAGACCTCCTGCTGGGGCTTATACTGTTACATAATACCTTGTCCCCACCTTCACCACTGTGCTGTCTACTGCGTATAGAGCCGACTAGCTGAAAAAATCTGTCATTGACCAAGGCACTTAACCCTAATTGCTCCTGTAAGTCGCTCTGGATAAGAGCGTCTTCTAAATGACTAAAATGTCAATGTAAATAGTTAGCCATTCTGTCCACATTGATGTACAGCAAAAAACATTGTAGGCTTTACCTCAAGAACTAGCCACAACTGGTCCCCGTTTTTGACATCCTTCTGGTAGTACATCCCAAAGAATTTGACCACATTGGAGTGGTCAGAGAGAGCCTTGAGGATATTGTATTCTGCTTCAATCTCCTCATCGATATCCTGGAAAACAATAACCAACATGGGTCAACATTCTAAAATGACAGAAGATTTGCCATGAATCCTCAATTACCTATCTGTAACAATTTGGCGTTCTGCAGCCAAATGTGATGATAAATTGTTTTGTCATGTTCTGTATTGAAACATATGCCAAATCACAATACATGCTCGCATCACAAAGAGGAATTAAACAGTCATAACGGAGCCAACAGCTTTAAGGGGAGTGGTTACTAAAGTGTAATCTCAATGCTTACGAATCAGATCATTTTTAATGAGTGATATTGTACATGTACTGTGTGTGGGGGTCAATGTTAGCAACCAGCTTGAGATTCCAATGTGACTGCATGCAGGTGTTCTCTGCAGGAACCAATCAACCGATTGATTAAAATGATGCTCCTCTCAGAGAACGGTCTATAGATAATTATTCTTCGATAATGAAAAACAGTAACAAACTCTCTACAGACTAATGAGACAGTTATTAAGATGATGCTAGAATTTAATGGATAAAAATAACTGTTCATTACGCTTTCACTTAATAGTGCCATTTTCTATTTTACCTGGAAAAGCGAATGAACAAAACAAGAGTTGCATAATCTAATTAAACCTTGTCCACGTATAGCTTTGAGTATCTTCTTTTGAAAGAAACCATTGTTAGGAATTGTAAACACTTCATGTTTAAAGTCAAGTGCTTACTGAGCTCCAGGGCCAATAATAAAAACCTATTACAGTCAAGTAGCTATTGTAGTTGATATTTTGTTCTTTCATCTCAACATAGCAATGTGCTGTTTGTGTCATATTTTTCAGCATCTCACCAGATTTCATTTCTCAAAACCGAGTGAGAGGAAGAAAATGTTAGTTCAATTTTATAGCCATTGCAACCACGTTAATTTCAAACGTGTATTTTCTCTAGATCAGTAATAAAAAATATGTTTTGTGAATGGACAATGAAACATTTCCCTCTTTCATGTAATTGTAGGGCCTTGAAAGGACATTCTAGGTGAATCTACAGATGATGCTTAGTGAATAAAAATTGCAGTGTGTGCCGAGACCCGAGAGCCAGACTTTGTGTTGTTAACAAAATAAAGGGAGGCTGATATTAAGCTTTACAGAGAGAGAGAGATGGAGATAGATAAAATATATAAATTGATAAAGAGAAAGAAAGAGAAATAACAATTTTAATGAGGAGGTTGGGGAAGTCTGCAGTGGAGACAGAAGACTGACCGAGAGAGAGAGACATAGTCTCCTGAGTGGCGCAGTGGTCTAAGGCGCTGCATCGCAGTGCTAACTGTGCCACTAGAGATCCTGGTTCGAATCCAGGCTCTGTCGCAGCCGGCCGCGACCGGGAGACTCATGGGCGGCGCACAATTGACCCAGCGTCGTCCAGGGTAGGGGAGGGAATGGCTGTCAGGGATGTAGCTCAGTTGATAGAACATGGCGTTTGCAACGCCAGGGTTGTGGGTTCGATTCCCACGGGGGGCCAGTATAAAAAAATATGTATTCACTAACTGTAAGTCGCTCTGGATAAGAGCGTCTGCTAAATGACGTAAATGTAAAATGATAGAGAATAGGAAATAAAGAAAGAGAGAAAAGATGGAGTGTGACCAAAGAGAAGACGGAGCCTCAGAGGAGAGCAGAAGCCAGTGAGATAGACCCGGCCCTTACAAAAAAAACGAGACATTTGCAGTTTAACATGTGAAAATCGCATTTTCACATTTGAAATGTCTGTTTTCACATGTTGAGCTTAAATTTCACATGAAACCATATTTTCACATGTATTAAATTTAGAGTTCACATGTTAACACCACCTTTTCTCATGTGAGGAGAATAACATGTTTTCACCTCACGTGAATTGCAGTTTCACATGTGAAATTGCATGTTCACGTGAAAAACAATCACATGTGAAAATCACATTTGCAGTTTCAAATGTAAGAAAACTCTTAATTGCAAAAATCTCTGAAGCTGGAGACTCTTATCTCCCTCAATAACTTTAAGCATCAGTTGTCAGAGCACCTTACCGATCACTGCACCTGTACACAGCCCATCTGAAATTAGCCCACCCAACTACCTCATCCCTATATTGTTATTTATTTTGCTCATTTGCACCCCAGTATCTCTATTTGCACATAATCTCTTGCACATCTAGCATTCCAGTGTTAATACTATTGTAATTATTCTGCACTATAGCCTATTTATTGCCTTACCTCCATAACTTGCTACATTTGCACACACTGTATATATATTTTCTGTTGTATTTCTGACTTTATGTTTTTTACCCCATATGTAACTCTGTGTTGTTGTTTTATTGCACTACTATGCTTTATCTTGGCCAGGTCGCAGTTGTAAATGAGAACCTGTTCTCAACTGGCTTACCTGGTTAAATAAAGGTGAAGAAAAAAAAAATAAATAAATAAATAAATAAATAAATAAATAAACATATGGGGGTGAAATAATGTTATTCTCCTCACATGTGAAAAGGTAGTGTTAACATATTGCAGTAGCAATGTTTCCTACCTGAGTATAACAATTCAAGTGCGTAAAAAAGTATGATTTCTTATTCCTGAGCCATCCACTCCATTTTTATTGTAGTCCTCCATGGTGTTGCATTGATATACAGTACATGTATACTATGCGCTACCACAAGGGAGAGGCATTTGTAGTGTTTCTTATTCGTACGTTGGTACGTGACCATTGGAAGAAGTCCAGTGAAAAGAACAGCGAAGCTAGCTCTCCATATCTAGCGCTTTTTATCCTGTTTTCAAGTTTGTACACATGGATACATTTTCTAAATCTAGAGATTACCTGTTTAACTAAACTGTGTTGAGTTTTCTGGTCTTTTTTATGTATAATTTAATTGTTTTGACCGAGTGAAAAACAAGTGCGATTATCCGATTTTCATGAGTGTAGCCAAGCTAAGAAGCTAGCTAGCTAGTCTACTTTTGTATGCAAGTCAATGAGAACAAGATGGCGTTTCTGAGGATTTTTTATTTCCGTTATAAATGTTTTGGCTCTTAGATAGTGGGGAGAACAAGTATTTGATACACTGCCGATTTTGCAGGTTTTCCTACTCACAAAGCATGTAGAGGTCTGTAATTTTTATCATAGATACACTTCAACTGTGAGAGACGGAATCTAAAACAAAAATCCAGAAAATCACATTGTATGATTTTTAAGTAATTAATTTGCATTTTATTGCATGACATACGTATTTGATCACCTACCAACCAGTAAGAATTCCGGCTCTCACGGACCTGTTAGTTTTTCTTTAATAATAATATGCCATTTAGCAGACGCTTTTATCCAAAGCGACTTACAGTCATGTGTGCATACATTTTTACGTATGGGTGGTCCCGGGGATCGAACCCACTACCCTGGCATTACAAGCGCCATGCTCTACCAATTGAGCTACAGAGAAGCCCTCCTGTTCTCCACTCATTACCTGTGTTAACTGCACCTGTATGAACTTGTTACCTGTATAAAAGACACCTGTCCACACACTCAATCAAACAGACTCCAACCTCTCCACAATGGCCAAGACCAGAGAGCTGTGTAAGGACATCAGGGATAAAATTGTAGACCTGCACAAGGCTGGGATGGGCTACAGGACAATAGGCAAGCAGCTTGGTGAGAAGGGAACAACTGTTGGCGCAATTATTAGAAAATGGAAGAAGTTCAAGATGACGGTCAATCACCCTCGGTCTGGGGCTCCATGCAAGATCTCACCTTGTGGGGCATCAATGATCATGAGGAAGGTGAGGGATCAGCCCAGAACTATAATAATAATAATAATAAGCCATTTAGCAGACGCTTTTATCCAAAGCGACTTACATTCATGTGCATACATTTTTACATATGGGTGGTCCCGGGGATCGAACCCACTACCCTGGCATTACAAGCGCCATGCTCTACCAATTGAGCTACAGAGGAAAACTACACGGCAGGACCTGGTCAATGACCTGAAGAGAGCTGGGACCACAGTCTCAAAGAAAACCATTAGTAACACACTACGCCATCATGGATTAAAATCCTGCAGCGCACGCAAGGTCCCCCTGCTCAAGCCAGCGCATGTCCAGGCCCGTCTGAAGTTTGCCAATGACCATCTGGATAATCCAGAGGAGGAATGGGAGAAGGTCAGGTGATCGGATGAGACAAAAATAGAGCTTTTTGGTCTAAACTCCACTCGCCGTGTTTGGAGGAAGAAGAAGGATGAGTACAACCCCAAGAACACCATCCCAACCGTGAAGCATGGAGGTGGAAACATCATTCTTTGGGGATGCTTTTCTGCAAAGGGGACAGGACGACTGCACCATATTGAGGGGAGGATGGATGGGGCCATGTATCGCGAGATCTTGGCCAACAACCTCCTTCCCTCAGTAAGAGCATTGAAGATGGGTCGTGGCTTGGTCTTCCAGCATGACAACGACCCGAAACACACAGCCAGGGCAACTAAGGAGTGGCTCCGTAAGAAGCATCTCAAGGTCCTGGAGTGGCCTAGCCAGTCTCCAGACCTGAACCCAATAGAAAATCTTTGGAGGGAGCTGAAAGTCCGTATTGCCCAGCGACAGCCCCGAAACCTGAAGGATCTGGAGAAGGTCTGTATGGAGGAGTGGGCCAAAATCCCTGCTGCAGTGTGTGCAAACCTGGTCAAGACCTACAGGAAACGTATGATCTCTGTAATTGCAAACAAAGGTTTCTGTACCAAATATTAAGTTCTGCTTTTCTGATGTATCAAATACTTATGTCATGCAATAAAATGCAAATTAATTACTTAAAAATCATACAATGTGATTTTCTGGATTTTTGTTTTAGATTCCGTCTCTCACAGTTGAAGTGTACCTATGATAAAAATTACAGATCTCTACATGCTTTGTAAGTAGGAAAACCTGCAAAATCGGCAGTGTATCAAATACTTGTTCTCCCCACTGTATATATATATATTTTTACAAACAAGGGCTCATATTGAGTGTATTTACATGTGTACATATGAACCACGCTAATTATATGTATTTTAGAATGTAACTTTTTATGAAATTTGTATATAACGGTTGCATGCTAATTGCTAACCGCTAGCTAGCTATTTTTGTTAGCTTCTGTTATTGTTAGCTGTCCATTGGTTTTTGTTACATTTAATACACAGGCTTAAAAGGGATTTTAATGTATCTGAAATTGTGTGAATGTGTTTGCTATTGGAATGGATGTAAAAATATAATTTTCTACAAAGAGTTTATTTTTAATTAGGGCTGTCAGAGTTAATCAGGCACAATTTTTTAAAATTGTGATTAATCACATGGTCTGAAAGCATTCAAAATACATGATCTATACAGTACAGCTTAAAACAACAATGCGATGTCAAAACAAATTTACCTTGAGGTTAAAGAAAGTGAGCTTTATCAATTTACCTGATTTTGCTAACTGTTACTTTGGACAAAATCAAGACGTCAATATTCTTTATATAAAAAAGCTCAAACGACAGCTCTATCTGAGCAAATTCAGAATTTGTTATTAATCGTAATTAATCACAGCAAAACTTGCGATTAACTAATTTACATGTTTTGTCATTTGACAGCCCTATTGAACAGTCAATATTCTGAGATTGAGAGAAATTGATAATAACTATACATTGGAAGTGAAACCCAGTGTTGGCCCTCTTGGTCTAATAGTCAAGACATTGGCTTCTCCTGTGGGAGACACAGGTTCCAATACCGCCGGTTACAAAAGCACACATGTGAAACTTAGAATAGCACATGTGAAATGTTGAGAAACCATGTGTCTGAGTCATGTGAAAAAATCTATGTGAAACTTCACACGTGTCCGAAAATGTGTCATTCATTTTCCTCACATGTGACATTTTTCTAATGTGTGAAAAATAAACGGGAAATTCCATGTGAAACTTCACATGTCCGAAAACCACGTGCCTGACTAATTTGTCATTTCTATTCATCATGGATGGTAGCCAAGGGCCTGAAGCTCCCTGAAACTCCCCACATGACAGGTCTGGGGCTACAGGTAATGTGATGTGTCCTCACTGTGGCTCCCCAGGACCATAAACATACCAAAGGCTACTACCGGCCAGTCACACTAATATATAGTAACCACAACACCTGCATGGCATGAAAGGACATTCCCAGTATTGGCCGGCTTTAAATACCAAACCACAACATGCTCATTTCAAAAGCATGCACCTCAACATGCAGACACAAATACTTCAGAACCTAAGTAAGGAAACATCACTCACATGGATGGGGTCCAGTATCTTGACAGCCGCTTTGCTGCCATCGATCTTGTTGAGCACTTTGTAGACTTTGCCATAAGTTCCTTTCCCGATGGTCTCGATGATCTCCCAGGTATCTGTCGGATCAGGAAAGGTGTCGAAGATAATCGATTTCCCTGATTGTGGAAACATCTTCATGAGAGATCTCCTGGGAAAGAGAGGGGGAAAGGAAGAACATGGCCAATGTGAATTAAAATGTCTTGTTAAAGCCCCAACTAGCTCCACTCAAATCAAATCAAATCAAATCAAATCAAATTTTATTGGTCACATGCGCCGAATACAACAGGTGCAGACATTACAGTGAAATGCTTACTTACAGCCCTTAACCAACAGTGCATTTATTTTAAACAAAAAAGTAAGAATAAAACAACAACAAAAAAGTGTTGAGAAAAAAAGAGCAGAAGTAAAATAAAGTGACAGTAGGGAGGCTATATATACAATAAAATAAAGTGACAGTAGGGAGGCTATATATACAGGGGGGTACCGTTGCATAGTCAATGTGCGGGGGCACCGGCTAGTTGAGGTAGTTGAGGTAATATGTACATGTGGGTAGAGTTAAAGTGACTATGCATAAATACTTAACAGAGTAGCAGCAGCGTAAAAAGGATGGGGTGGGGGGCAGTGCAAATAGTCCGGGTAGCCATGATTAGCTGTTCAGGAGTCTTATGGCTTGGGGGTAGAAGCTGTTGAGAAGTCTTTTGGACCTAGACTTGGCACTCCGGTACCGCTTGCCGTGCGGTAGCAGAGAGAACAGTCTATGACTAGGGTGGCTGGAGTCTTTGACAATTTTGAGGGCCTTCCTCTGACACCGCCTGGTATAGAGGTCCTGGATGGCAGGGAGCTTTGCCCCAGTGATGTACTGGGCCGTACGCACTACCCTCTGTAGTGCCTTGCGGTCAGAGGCCAAGCAGTTGCCATACCAGGCGGTGATGCAACCAGTCAGGATGCTCTCGATGGTGCAGCTGTAGAATTTTTTGAGGATCTGAGGACCCATGCCAAATCTTTTTAGTCTCCTGAGGGGGAATAGGCTTTGTCGTGCCCTCTTCACGACTGTCTTGGTGTGTTTGGACCATGATAGTTCGTTGGTGATGTGGACACCAAAGAACTTGAAGCTCTCAACCTGTTCCACTACAGCCCCGTCGATGAGAATGGGGGCGTGCTCAGTCCTCTTTTTTTTCCTGTAGTCCACAATCATCTCCTTTGTCTTGGTCACGTTGAGGGAGAGGTTGTTGTCCTGGCACCACACGGCCAGATCTCTGACCTCCTCCCTATAGGCTGTCTCATCGTTGTCGGTGATCAGGCCTACCACTGTTGTGTCGTCGGCAAACTTAATGATGGTGTTGGAGTCGTGCCTGGCCATGCAGTCATGGGTGAACAGAGAGTACAGGAGGGGACTGAGCACGCACCCCTGAGGGGCCCCCGTGTTGAGGATCAGTGTGGCAGATGTGTTGTTACCTACCCTTACCACCTGGGGGCGGCCCGTCAGGAAGTCCAGGATCCAGTTGCAGAGGGAGGTGTTTAGTCCCAGGATCCTTAGCTTAGTGATGAGCTTAGAGGGCACTATGGTGTTGAATGCTGAGCTGTAGTCAATGAATAGCATTCTCACGTAGGTGTTCCTCTTGTCCAGGTGGGAAAGGGCAGTGTGGAGTGCGATAGAGATTGCATCATCTGTGGATCTGTTGGGGCGGTATGCAAATTGGAGTGGGTCTAGGGTTTCTGGGATTATGCTGTTGATGTGAGCCATGACCAGTCTTTCAAAGCACTTCATGGCTACAGACGTCAGTGCTACGGGTCGGTAGTCATTTAGGCAGGTTATCTTAGAGTTCTTGGGCACGGGGACTATGGTGGTCTGCTTGAAACATGTTGGTATTACAGACTCAGTCAGGGACATGTTGAAAATGTCAGTGCAGACACTTGCCAGTTGGTCAGCACATGCTCGGAGTACACGTCCTGGTAATCCGTCTGGCCCTGCGGCCTTGTGAATGTTGACCTGCTTAAAAGTCTTACTCACATCGGCTACGGAGAGCGTGATCACATAGTCGTCCGGAACAGCTGGTGCTCTCATGCATGCTTCAGTGTTGCTTGCCTCGAAGCGAGCATAGAAGTGGTTTAGCTCGTCTGGTAGGCTTGTGTCACTGGGCAGCTCACGGCTGTGCTTCCCTTTGTAGTCTGTAATAGTTTTCAAGCCCTGCCACATCCGACGAGCGTCAGAGCCAGTGTAGTATGATTCAATCTTAGACCTGTATTGACTCTTTGCCTGTTTGATGGTTCGTCGGAGGTCATAGCGGGATTTCTTATAAGCGTCCGGGTTAGAGTCCCGTTCCTTGAAAGCGGCAGCTCTACCCTTTAGCTCAGTGCGGATGTTTCCTGTAATCCATGGCTTCTGGTTGGGGTATGTACGTACGGTCACTGTGGGGACGACATCATCGATGCACTTATTGATGAAGCCAGTGACTGATGTGGTGTACTCCTCAATGCTGTCTGAAGAATCCCGGAACAAGTTCCAGTCTGTGCTAGCAAAACAGTCCTGTAGCTCAGCATCAGCATCCAATGTTCAAAGCGCAAGGCCTGTGCACGCTGTGTATTGGAGTTAATCAAGTATCCTTGAGTAATGTTCTCAGGACATTGTGAACAACCCTTACAATTACAATAATCTCAGTGGAATTCCAACAAGGATAAACGCTGCGGAAGTTACAAATCAAATCAAATCAAATCACATTTTATTTGTCACATACACGTGTTTAGCAGATGTTATTGCGGGTGTAACGAAATGCTTGTGCTTCTAGCTCCAACAGTGCAGTAATATCTAACAAGTAATATCTAACAATTTCACAACATATACCGAATACACACAAATCTAAGTAAGGAATGGAATTTAAGAATATATACATATATGGACAAGCAATGACAGAGCGGCATGGACTAAGATACAATATAATATTATAGAATACAGTATATACATATGAGATGAGTAGTGCAAGATATGTAAACATTATTAAAGTGACTAGTATTCAATTTCTTAAAGACGCCAGTGATTTCAATTGGCAGCAGCAGCCTCTAATGTGCTAGCGATGGCTATTTAACAGTCTGATGGCCTTGAGATAGAAGCTGTTTTTCATTCTCTCGGTCCCAGCTTTGATGCACCTGTACTGACCTCGCCTTCTGGATGAGAGCGGGGTGAACAGGCAGTGGCTCGGGTGGTTGATATCCTTGATGATCTTTTTGGCCTTCCAGTGACATCGGGTACTGTAGGTGTCCTGGGCAGGTAGTTTTCCCCCGGTAATGCGTTCGGCAGACCACACCACCCTCTGGAGAGCCCTGTGGTTGCGAGCGGTGCAGTTGCCGTACCAGGCGGTGATACAGCCCAACAGGATGCTCTCAATTGTGCAGTTTTGAGGGTTTTAGGTGCCAAGCCAAATTTCTTCAGCCTCCTGAGGTTGAAGAGGCTCTGTTGCGCCTTCTTCACCACACTGTCTGCGTGGGTGGACCATTTCAGTTTGTCAGTGATGTGTACGCCAAGGAACTTGAAGCTTTCCACCTTCTCCACTGCGGTCCCGTCAATGTGGATAGGGGGGTGCACCCTCTGCTGTGAACAGGGAGTACAGGAGGGGGCTGAGCACGCACCCTTGTGGGGCCCCCAGTGTTGAAAATCAGCGAAGTGGAGATGTTGTTTCCTACCTTCACCACCTGGGGGCAGCCCGTCAGGAAGTCCAGGACCCAGTTGCACAGGGCGGGGTTCAGACCCAGGGCCTCGAGCTTAATGATGAGCTTGGAGGGTACTATGGTGTTGAATGCTGAGCTATAGTCAATGAACAGCATTTTTATATAGGTATTCCTCTTGTCCAGATGGGATAGGGCAGTGTGCAGTGTGATGGCGATTGCATCGTCTGTGGATCTATTGGGGCGGTAAGCAAATTTAAGTGGGTCTAGGGTGACAGGTAAGGTAGAGGTGATATGATCCTTGACTAGTCTCTCAAAGCACTTCATGATGACAGAGGTGAGTGCTACGGGGCGATAGTCATTTAGTTTAGTTACCTTTGCTTTCTTGGGTACAGGAACAATGGTGGCCATCTTGAAGCATGTGGGGACAGCAGACTGGGAAAGGGAGAGATTGAATATGTCCATAAACACACCATCCAGCTGGTCTGCGCATGCTCTGAGGATGCGGCTAGGGATGCCGTCTCGCATGAATGGAAGCATGCAACCATGGTAACCACAATTGGAGGGAAATATGTAGAACTGCCAAGACTGGAGCAATATTGCTTCTTTGCAGAGATGTGAATCATTTGATTTGATGTGCCAAGAAGGTAGCCCTTTTGTTTGTTTGATGTTATAGTCATTAACGGACTGAAAAGACCCGAAATACAGCCAATGTTTTAGGTTTATTTATTCACACTGAAGAAAATAAGTGAAAGACCAAACAGTACAGATAAAAAAACAGGTAAAAACGGTATGCATGTGAGGTTGGAAGCCCAAAAGGGCTAAAATTGCTCAATCAGTTAAACAAAGCATATTAATTATAATTGTACATGATATACAAGAAAAAACATGTTTGATTATGTGTGTGTGTGTGTGTGTGTGTGTGTGTGTGTGTGTGTGTGTGTGTGTGTGTGTGTGTGTGTGTGTGTGTGTGTGTGTGTGAATGTGTGTGAGTGTGAGAGTTAGGCTACATGGAGGGGATTATTGGGTAGTTTGGTTCATCAGGCTGACCCCCAGTCTTCGCTTGAAGTTATTGAGGGATGATGATGTTTTAGCAATGTGAGTATAAGAATTCCAGAGTATGGTACCTCTGTATCTGATAGAGAATTGACTATGTGAGGTGTAGCAGTGGGGAGGGTGAAGGTTATCGCAGTGTCTTGCGTTATATAGATGGATTTCAGAATTAACCTGGAAGAATCCATTGAAGGATTTAGGTCAATTGTCTGGGAGGTATGAGTATTTGTAGATGAAAGTGCATAATTGGTGTGCATTAATGTCGTAAATTGTATGGTGAGTAATTTGTGTAGGTAGGAGGCATATGTACTGGCCCAGACAATATTCCAGTAAATTAAGCTAGAGTATAGAGTTAGGAAGCAAGCCTGATGAACCAAACCACTATTTGTTAGTAAAATATATTTTGATGGATATCCGAAGTAGGTGAGTAAATTT